TATATATATAATATGTATATATATATTAGTTTATTAATATTAATTAAAAAATTTTAAATGCAGGATACGAGTCAATTAACTTCCCTCGCCTCTCCTTCCCGCAGTACTTTTGCTACGCCCTCACTCAAAGCTCCTCGCAGTCTCACACCTCAATCACCCCATCATCAAACTATGGTCCGTCTACCTGCGCAAGCACCTTGTCGAGTAATACGTCCAGGCTTTCCTCAACCACCATCTCCCTTCTCACCACAAGCTCCCCAGTCACCACATGATTTTCCACAGTCCCCTGTCTCTTCTCAACCTTCTCAGGAATCACATTTCCAACGCTTCGAAGGCAATGTTTCAACTCCTGCATCCCCCTATTCGTCACCACAGACGCCAGGTACACCCCGCACTCCTGTGTTTAATCCTCCGCGACCTCCCGTATATGCGCCTCCTCCTCCTCCTCCACCTCCTCCTCCACCACCACCACCTGCAACATCGCGAACTCCTGATCCTTACAGCCAACCACCTGTAACTCCCACATCCACTTCTGCTACACCTGGCTATCCATCACCTAGGAGTTCCGAAACTCCTCGAACATCTCAGGAACAAGAAGTGGCTTTTGGGCAACAACCGGAAGTCAATAGGCAATTGAGGGACTTACTGCAAAGACAACAATTTAGTAAGAAAATTGAAGGAATAGGTGCCAATTGGGTTCAAGGTTTGTTTTATTCTGAATATATATATAATAAGTATGATTATTTTATATCAAGTATTACGTGTTTGCTGAAACATAAATGAATTAAAATACAATTAAAATTATATTTTTGCATTTTTTTCAATTATATTTATAATGCAGATGGACAGAATAATACGGAGAACAATCAGCAACAGTTTGAAGCCAGTCATGTGCAGCTTCAGCAACATTCTCAAGTACAAAACAATTCTAGTGAAGGCACTTTTAGGCATCCACTTCCGCCAGGCATTGTTAGACCCAGAATGCCTATTCAACCGAACGTTTTAATAAGAAATTCCATTGGTATGCATGTAATATTTCTATTTGTTAATTTTTAATGTATAAATATTAATTTATTATATTATAAGAGGTCCTTGAGTAGTCGCCGTGACCATGTTGGAATCGTCTGACGTCAGAATCGAAAAATAACACATTAATTTATGTTACCATTTGTAAATAATGTTGCCATTTGTAAATAACAACAATTTGGATAAATCTAAATGGCGAGATTGCTTTAAAACACTTGAAAAAATGGATGGTCCGTGTGCTCGTCTTCGACTCGAAAATAAGCACACAGACATGGGCTCGTGTTTATGTTTGTGGCTACCAGTTTCGCTAGGTTGCCGACTAATTCTGTGTCGCTATCATTAACGCGGAGTTCTTGGCTACTCAGAAGTCTTAACATTTATTATTAATTATACTTTTATATTTAGGATATTCCAAAACTGATAATAAATATTTTAAAGACAGATTTTTTGTAACATTTTAAGATGAAAAAGTTTAATATGAAAATATTGAGGCTATGATAATTTTTAAATAGGAAGAGTTTAAAAATTACAAATGACGGGGTTAGAATTTCGCATATGAAGATGCTAAATCTTGTTATTATCAAAGGCATGAAATTCAAGGAAACACTTTCATACTGATCATCTTGCCATTCCTGAGCGCGCGAAATTCTAGTCCCATCATTTGAAACTCTTCTTATTTAAAGATAAAATATCATACTCTAGATATTTTTGTATTAGATTTTTCATTTTAAAATGTGTTACAAAGAATCTGTGTATAAAATATTTAACGTCAGATTTGGGTCACTATATAACAAATAAATATATTATTTGCTATTTAACTTTACAACAATATCTACATAAATTATAATAATTATTAAAACATTCTCTCTAATACTTAAACATTTCTAATCAAATAAAATCAATTAATTACATTATTAACTTTTCTTTTATGTAAAATTTTTGTTTTTTATACAAAATTTATGTGTAATATATGAATTCAGGAATAAACTCGCGACATCCTACAGCAGGAAATATTCAGAATCCGATTGATCATCGTACTAGGACATTACTGCAGAATAGACCTCCTGTAGCTACTAATGTACCTGCTCAACAACATTTCCAAGCAACTCAAAATCTCCAAATACGAATGCCAGTAACGAGAAATGCCATTTCCGAATCTTATGATATTTTGCAACAACAGAGATTTACAGGTAAATTAAAAAAAAAAACTTTTTTTAATGGACGACGATATTTTGAAAGTAACATATTTTTGAAAGAAATAATTCAATCAAAAATTATTTGTTTTTAAAGAGGTGAAAATAATGATTTTACAAAATTTACTTTTTGTATATTCTAAAAATTTAATAAATAAAACAAAGTACTACAATAAAAATTTAATAGTTTTCAACTGTCACATTATAACATTGATAGTGGAAAAGGATTACTAATGTATATCTCAATTGCAGACTGATATCGCAATTGCTTGTTATATTGTGCTACACATGATTGAAATATTTTTATCCTTTTTTGTAACCTTTATAAATATATATTTGTAGGCTTTATAAATAAATATAAATATGTCAGAAATTTTTGATCTAAAATCATAAAAAATTAAAATTTACAAAGATTTTAACAAAATAAAAAATCTTTTTTAGATGTAAATCAGACGCAGAACCAACGCGTCGCGCGGCCAACACAGGACAATTTAAATCAAGGTATTCGTATGTTGAATACAACTCCAGGGATGGTCCGAGCACCACTCGTTCCCACGACGATGAGTGAGACCGTGGGAATGGTTACTTCAGAAGCATCTGAAATCCCTGACAATGTGACAGCTGAATTGGAAAAGCTGGAGCAAGAAGGAGCAGGTCCAATGGTCGAAGTCGAAGGAGTTAGTGCAATATTGGGAGATCTGGCAGATGATGATGATGAACTGCTTGGTAAGTCTGCGCGCGCGCGCGCGCGCGCGCGCGTGTGTGTGTGTGTGTGTGTGTGTGTGTGTGTGTGTGTGTATTACGGGCAATAAATTACCTTCTTTACAATATCAACATTGCCCAGGCTACGTCAGAATTGCACAACTCAATCACATTGGTCAATATTAACATGGTCTATGCAATATCGATATTGCACGCTGTGCGGATTTTGATCGTGACATATATATATATATAAATTAATTTTAAAAAAAGAATAAATTTCTTATAGAAATTAATACAAAATTAAAAAGTGAGAATTTGTTATTCTTAAAGCTGAAATGGGGGCGGACTTCAACATTCTGGAATATGCGGACCCTGAACTGGACACGATCGTAGGTGGGGAGAAGACTAATATTCTTGATATGGATATCGAGCAAGTTGAAGTTGATCCTAAAGATGATAAGCAAAAAAAAGAAACTAGGGACGAAGATCAGAAACCAGAATTGACTGGTTCAGCTTCTGATATTACTGATTCGTGTTCGACTAGCACGAGTTTAACTTTGACAGAAAATTCCAACGTACCGACAATAACATCGCCGCAGACGACATCGCAAGCAATGCAAGCGCAAGTAGTGCAGCAGCAGATGCATCAACAAGTGCAACAAGCGGCAGCGATGGGCCGGCCGATACTTCCTGGTACAAGGTTGCTTTCACCAGATGGAGCAGTCGGAGTGGTGACTTCCACAAATACGGTAACTGTGAGCTATCCACCGAATTTTCCTGGACATTCGCAGAGACTTTCGCAGGCACATATACAAGGTAAAGTTAAAAAAAAAATACTTATAATATTTTATTACTTTTTTTTGTTTTTAGAGTTTAAGTATTAGATTGTTTTGTAAAAAAAAATATATATTAGAACAATCTTAAAATAGTGTAATAATTTTATCTTTGATATGATAAGTAAAATAATAAAATAATTATGTAAAATAATAGATATTATTTTGAATAATGTTTTTATAATATTTTGTATTATGTTTTATACAAATCTTCACTTTTGATATTTAATATCTACAATTTTATTTTTATTGTAGTTTCGCAACAGCAACGGTTAGGCATGCGAGTAGCCGCAGGAGTATCAAATATGGCTGGCAGGGTGGTTGCTGTAAATCATATGATTGGTCCACGAATGCCGTTGGCTCCGCCACCACCACCACCGCCACCACCACCCCCTTATCCAGGACCTCCACCACCATATCCTGGACCGATACAGGTAAGAGTGTCGATGTTTATATCAATTAATTTTTTTGGAAATTTATGCATCGCTTTGATATATATTTTGTTCTTATGTAATTGTGAAAAAAATTAAATTAATCACATTACAGTTAAGAAATTAAGAGCATAATTGATGAATTAAAATTTAAAATAGTTCTTGTTAAATTTGTATAACAACAACTATCCGTATGAGATAATTACATGGATTACATGTCATTTTTGTGAATATGCACACACACACACACACACACACACACACACACACACACACACACACACACACACACACACACACACACACACACACACAAAAGAGAAACATTTTTAGAAAAAATGAAATCTTATGTAGGAAATTCACAAAACTTTGTGAGTAAAAAAAACAAAATAATGATAGCTCCAATGTGAAACTATATTGATAACTCACATAAAACTTTATTGATAATAATTAATTACATAACACGGTTTGTTAACGTTTTTATAACACGTAATTAATAAAACGGTTCATGATTGCATGTATAATATATGTGTCAGTCAGTTTCGTATATCTGCTAAGTTTATTTAAAAAATATTTTGTGCGGCTGTGTGCAGTATCAAATAGAAATAATTTTTCATATTTTGTTAAGCTAGCACTTTAAAATAATAGACATTTTTAGAAATATATGTTAAATAATTTTTTTTTATAAAATCTTATTTAAAGTATATTTATATATGAATATAATTTATTTAAAAAATATTATAATCTTGTTTAAAGTATATTTATATGACAGTTTTTTCTAAATGTAAGAGAATGTTTTATAAAATAATTTTTAATAATTGCATTAATAAATCATGAGAAAATTATTTAGTAAAATAAAAGAAAGCTTAAATATATTACTCAATTAATAAATTTTTATTAGACTATATTGGATAAACAATAATCAATTTATAATAAAATTTATTATTTAATTAGAATAATTTAATTAAAAAGCGAAACTAAGACTAAAAAAAATTGCTGTGATTGTAGGTGTAGCTAAATAATAGATCTTACACTTTCAGTGCCAAAACATTTTCTGTTTTGGGAGACATTATAAATAATTGCTCATATATATTAGGAATAATTGAATTTAATATTTTATTAATTAAATGTATTTTTAATTGTAGTATCTTGTGTTATATTTTCTTTTACAATTATAATTTTTATATAAAAATTATAAATTATTGAGAGATATAGTGTGAAATATATACTCAGAAGTTATATTAATTTAAAATTTTAAAAACAATTGTCTCTAAGAGATATACATTTAAAATTGTATAAGAATATCTTTTTCTTATTTGTCAATTTATTTAAATTGGTGGAAATTTGTTTTATTATTCTCGTCATATTTTCATCACGTTTACATAAAATAACTCGAAAATGTTTAAATGGCAATAGAAAGAGTAATGGCAGTGGTAAGAAAATTGGCTAGTGTTTTTGGCCTGGGTGTGCAAGTTTGCAATATGCATTTGGTGTTGGTGCATGTGTCTAGATGGGACTGTGCCCGGGTGGTGGTGGTGGTGGTGGGCGAGGTATGACGCGACCCTCGGTTCATATGACGGGGCACCAGGTACCGGTGGCGGGTCCACCAATGGGACCTGTGGTGTCGCACCCTCACCGAAGACCTTTGCTTCTGCAGGTGAGCGAGATTTGGGGCATTCTAATATTACAAGAAGAAAAATCTAAATATAAATCTTCATTTTATGTTTAACTTCCCGAGAATTTTTTTCTTTTAAAATGTAATAAAAAAAATTTAGAGTGTAATATTATTTTTATAATGTAATAAAAAAAATAAATCTATCTTTTATAGAATATTAAATTCTAGGTAAAATAATTAATATAGAAAAATATTGGTTGTGTTCAGCAGAGAAAGCAGTTTTGCAACTGTTGTAAAATTCTTCAATATGATTGGTTTATACATTTAAATCCATAAGAAATAAAAAACAAGAACCAATCGTATTGAAGAATTTTACAACAGTTGCAAAACTGCTTTTTTTTCTAAACGTATTTATTTATTTGTTTGTTATTAATTTATTTATTATAGAATGTAACATATATTGCTAAAATTAAATATTAATCATAAATGAAAAAAATTAATTTTTATATTGATTAATATTTTATTACTTATTATAAAAGTAAAAAAGTCACATTTCTATCTTTTTACACCCCTTTTCTATATTATAGATTTGATGCTCTTTTAAATGTTTTGCATCCATACTGCACGAAATTAATTTTACTAACATTGACAAAATCTTGTTTTATTAAATTTTGCTTAATTCTTCTTTAAAGCAATATGATGCTTTTTAGAAAATTGCTTTTTTATAATCAATGCATTAATGTTGAAATTGTTTGCATGTTGTGTAGTAATTAATTCATAGTAGACTACGAATTTTTGGTTGTTATTTATACATTGTATTTATACAGATAAAATAAAATATTATTGAAAAAATATATAAATTCAAATTAATTTGCAATGTTTATCCACACATTTTATCTTATCTAAGTTTATTTTTGATGTACATACAAACTTTATTTGAATTATTTATTTATGTAATAGTTGTAATTTTAGTTGAGTTTACTATTTAATATTCAGTCCTAATGTAATAGAAATTTTAGCCTTTAGACCTTCGAAGTAGCACTCCTTGTATCAAAAATCGACCTTGACTGTCAGCAGTCGTGTTCACAGGAGCAGCCATTATTGCTGGAGGAGCTGCTAGAGCAAGAGAAACGAGAACAAGAAAAACAGCAACAACAGCAGCAGCAACAACAACAACAACAACAACAACAACAACAACAACAACAACAGACCGAAAATGTCACTGGAGGAAGTCTTTTGAGCGACAGCGATTTTGAAAAATTCAAAGTTGATGTTTTGGGTACTACGTCACCTCCTCAGGGCATGGTGCCTGTGATAAGACCACCTTGTACAGCGCGATCACCTTCCGCACCTAATACTAACTGGCAGCAAAGTAGTATATCAACCGATGGAGCAGCAAAGCTCACAGTGGCGCAAGTTGGATCGAGACAGCCAATTGCCACACAGACTCCGCCTGAACGTTAGTAGTCTTCTATTAATTATTTTGTTGAACACTTAATAGGTGTGAATGTAGATTGATTGATTAAAATAAAAAGTAAATTAAATTTTAAAATAAGTAATATTTAATGTTTACTAAAATTTATTAGAATTTATTAGAATTTTGTTAGAGTTTGTTCTTGGCGAAATCTTATCTGAATAAGAAAAATTTTGCAATTTATTTGACTTATATTTAGAATTAATGATTTTAATATTTTAAATTATTAAATTTCTAATATAAAAATATGTTTAATGAATACATATTTATTGTAGATGTATTTATTATTTTAAATATATATAGTTTAGTTCATTTTATACGATTATATTTGCATTAATTTTTAGCAAGAGTGGCTATGTTCAACATTCCTCAAAAACCGGCACCACCGACTCCGCCAGAAAATATAGTTAATGAGCAAGATCGGCAAATGCATGTGCATTATGAGCAATGGCTTAATAATCAGCATCAAATATTAACGCAACAATTAAAATATTATGAGGCGGAGGTCCAAAAACTTCGAAAAATAAGAAAGGTAAATAAAAATAGAGATTAGTATTATATTATTAAATATTTCTATTAAATGTAGGTCCATACATGTGAGTATACAACCAATAGAAATCAATGCTTTTAATGGTCTAGCTGAATTTTAGGTGTTTATAAATTTCACATGGAATGCTAGAGATCCGCATGTTCAGATTTTCTCTCAGTTGAGGTAATATTTTCGCAATGAGAATTAATTATTTACAAATTTTAATTATGTTATTCAACATTATTAAATCGTTCTAAGATGTATAAGAGTATCAAATTATTAAATTGCTAGTTAATTTAACTCGTGATATTACTGTGGTAGTTTAATAGAGTTTTGCGTTTTACGAAAAATTATTTCAACGCACATTCACATAACGCAAGGATTACATACATAATATATAAATTTACACAAATTTATACAAACAACTAAGAATTTAGACAGCTTAATTATATTAATTAAAATTAACATTGTTTATTAAAATACCGTATATATTAATAGATAATAGGGAGAGTTTTTGCAAAACCGTTTATCATTTCAGATACGGTGAACGCTAAAGTCACGTTATCATTTTCTTAAATAGGTGTGAAGAAAAAGATAACGTGACTTTAATGTTCACCGTATCTGGAATAAACGGTATTGCAAAAACTCCCTATTTTCAGTATACATGTATCAATAGGCTTCATATTAATTTCTAAATTTTAGTTTGTTCTATATTATTGTTTTTCATGTTTCTCTATCTTATTTCTTTCTAGTCTCTCAATAGTAAGCAACGTCAGCTTCGTAAATCTGGTAACGAATTGACAGAAACCGACGCTGCTGAACTACAACGAGTTTCTACTGAGCAAGCAATTCTTCAGAAACATTTAGATACTTCGCGTAAGCAACAGCGTCAACACAGCGTATTGATTCAGGAGTACCATAACAAACAACAACAACGACAAACTCAACCCCAACCAAACGAACCTTGTTCTCCATTGATGTCACCTTCTCAGCATTCTCCGATGCATTCTCCAGCTGCGTTGGTTTCTCAAAGTCCTGGTCCTAGCATGATTCAACATTCACCAGCAACTCCATCAATTGTTCAACATAGTCCAGGCACACCACTGCTTCAACATAGTCCAGGCAATCCTCAATCGTCTAATCCAGGTACAATGTCACCGCATAATGTTCAGCAGCAATCGCCAAGAATTGGCACTCCTCATTCTCAAGGTGATGAAAGTCCCTTCAGTCCTGGGCCAATGCCTTCTCCCGGTCTATGCAATCCTAACACTACACGAATGACTTCACCACAACATAGAGCCATTATTAGCGGAAGATTGGCAACTTCTCCTGGTGCTTTTACACCAGAGACGCGAAATCAACAACTGATAACTGATCAGGGTGTGAGAGTTCATAGTTTAACTCAGAGATTTGTCAGACCACCAGAAGGAGCGCAGAGGAGAGGAGGTATCGTTTACAATCCACAATCAGGACAGCAGCAGTTACTGAATCAACAACAGCATCAGCAGTTGATGCAAAGGCAGCAGATTATTCAGCAACAGCATGAAGGTGTTTCTCAGGATCAAGGTCAAAATACTATTGTTCGGGGGACATTGCAGCGGCAACAAGTTTTTCAACAGCAGCAACAGAATGATATTTCTCAAGATGGACAAAATCTTATTACTCAAAGAAATTTACAAATGGTTCAACAAAGACAGATTCTTCAACAGACTGATATCATTTCTCAAGAAGGACAGAATGTCGTTGCTCAAAGAAATTTACAAACGACTCGGCAACAAATTATTCAGCAGCAGCAACAACAACAACAACAACAACAAGAAGGCATTTCTCAAGATGGACAAAATATCGTTACTCAGAGATCATTGCAAATAACTCAGCAACGACAGCAAATTCTTCAGCAACAAATTCTTCACCAACAGCAAACCGAAGATGCTTCTCAGGAAGGGCAAAGTTCTATTAATCAAAGATCGTTGCAAGTAGTTTCACAACAGCAGAGACAACAAATTCTTCAACAGCAGCAACAGAATGATATTATTCCTCAAGAAAATCATAATGTCGTTACTGCTCAAAGAAATTTACAGATAGTGCAGCAGCGACAACAAATTCTCCAGCAGCAACAACAAATTCTTCAGCAACAACATGAAGTTGTTTCTCAAAGTATTTCTCAAGATGGACAAATTCCTCAAAATTCTATTCCTAGAACGCTACAGATGATTCAACAACGGCAGCAGATTCTTCAACAACAACAGGAAGGTACTTCTCAAGATGGGCAAAATATTAATGTTCAAAGACATTTGCAAATAGCACAACAACGACAGCAGCATGAAAATGTTTCACAGAATATTTCTCAAGAAATTGGACAAAATGTTGTTCAAAGATCAATACAAATGGTACAACAGCGTCAACAAATTCTTCAACAACACCAGCAACATGAAAGCATTTCTCAAGAAGGACAGAATACTATTGCTCAAAGAAATTTACAAATAGTTCAACAGCGTCAAAAGCAAATTCTTCAACAACAGCATCAACATGAAGATGTTTCTCAAGACGGACAAAGCGCTATTACTCAAAGATCATTACAACTGGCCCAACAACGACCACAAATTTTACAACAACAACACGAAGGTGTTTCTCAATCTGTTTCTCAAGAAGGACAAAGTACTACTATTACTCAAAGATCTTTGCAAATGGTTCAACGTCAACAGATTATTCATCAACAGCAACAGCAACATGAAGTTATTTCGCAAGATGGACAAACTTCTATTGTTCAAAGATCACTTCAAATGGCTCAGCGTCAACAAATACTTCATCAACAACAACATGAGGGTATTTCTCAGAGTATTTCTCAAGAAGGACAGAATTCTATTGGTCCAAGATCACTCCAAATGACTCAGCAACGACAGCATATTCTCCAACAACAACAACAAAGACAATTCTTGCAAATGCAACAGCAACAGAAACCGCCCAACTCGCCAATGGTGTCTCAGCCATCAAATTCTCCCAGTCCACAGCTTCATCAGCAACTTCAACAAAATTATGGTCAACCCCCGAGTTCACCTATGGTGCAACAGGCAACGATGGGTTCTCCAATGCTTCAACAACAATTAAATCCGACTTCACAACCTCCTAGTCCAATGAACAGGATTTCACCGATGCTTCATGGTAGTCATCATCATTCTTCAACAACTACTCAACCACCCAGCTCTCCTATGATGCCTAGAAGTCCTATGGTAGCCGGATCTCCTATGCAAATGCAGCGAAGACAATCTACTGGAAATAGTCCCGCTATGCCAGACAGACCCCAAAGCGTGGAAAATCCTGGAACTCCAAGGACACCTCATACACCTCATAATTTTGTTCAACAAAATACTTTAACTGTAACTCCAAGTGATCAGCAACAGGTTTCTCAGCAAATGCCTCAACAGGTTTCTCAGGAACAAACTTCTTTATCAGATAATCTTTCTAGAGGTGGAGGAAACTCCAATAATCCTTTAAATCCAATTCCTTCTCTTAATTTTGCAAAGACTGAATATTTTAAATTAGGATTAAAAGGCGGCTCATTAGTTGATCAGGGCCAGGTTTGTCAACAAATTTCCCAAAAACAAGTTCTTTCATTAGAAAATTCTACTAAAAATGAGGAAAATAATAAATCTACAAAACCAATACGATTTCCTAATTTTGGACGATTTGGATGGTTCAAGTTGGGCTTAAGGGGAGGATCGCCAATGTGGTCAAGCAAAGCAGATAGTAGTAAAGGTGGTAAAGGTGCAGAAACATCTCAAACGAAAAGAGATCAGTCTACAGAAGAGAAAGCAAATATTTCTATAAATAGGAAAACCACTAGAATCAGCTCGTTAGTCTGCGTTGATTATAATGACTTTGATGACGATTCTCATACGCCGCCACAAACTTCACCGACAACTTTGGAGATAAAATCAACTGGTCAAGGCTCTTTGACCTCTTCAACTTTAGATAATGGGTCTTTAACTTTAGAAAGTCCTGGAGAAAAGTTGGAACAACTTCCAGATACAACAGATTATGATGATGATAAAACTATAGTTAATACTGAAGTGACTTTGAGCTCCACAGCTCAACGAGACAGTGATGATATCACCGTGATTGAACAGTTCGGTGATTCGGAACTGGTTGATGTTATTTCGGGAACTTTAGAAGGTGATATGCAAGAAGAATATGTTCTATTTGAACCTGGAATGGTGGTGGACCTTTCTGCTGATAGTAACGATTCTCTTTGTCATGCTTTAGTGAATGATGCTGGTCAAAATCATGACTTAGTGCAGATTTTAGAGATTGATAATTCTGAATCACAATCGGAAGAACCTATTTTGAGTGACGAAGATTTAGTCCCGTCTCATTCAAGAAATAAAAAGGGTCTTAGACTCGATATAGTGAGGGCTTTCCAGTCTGGAAAGAAGCTAGTCGCTGTAACTGATACTCCTGAATCTCCAGATCAAGAAGAACTTCGAGTTGATCCTTCTCCAGGTCCTTATTTAGATCAGTCTCCTGATCAAGAACTTATGGTATCTTTAGTAAGTGAGTCTGAAGTGGTTATCATTGAACCCACAACAAAATCGCCTGAAGATAATCTTTCTAAGGGTTCTTGCGATGAAGAGATTGAAAAAACTGATAACAATATACAAACTGATGTTTCTAAAGAAAATATATTTAATGAAAGCTCGACAGATGATCAAACCAAATTATCAAAACAAAATAAGAGTCCTACAAACTTTACCTTTTCAGATAAATCTTATACCAAAACAGCAGCTTCAACTATATATCCGACTAATATTAATATAACAGTTCCAAAATCAGTAATTTCTTTAATAAATACTACAATTTCTTCAAATTTAATTTCCCGTCCAATTTCTACTAGTTCTAATTCTCAACTGAATCAGGTTTCAATTCAACCAATTGTCACAGAAACTAAAATGATAGATCATTTTGATTTAAAAGAAGTTTCCTCGAGTTCTTCTACCAATCAGAAAGGAGTTACTTTGTCAACGATGGCAAGCATTGTGGCAGATGCAAAAATTGCTGCGAAACTTAGTCAAACTGCTTTGGAGAATATTTCCAATTCTCAGCAAGATAAATTGAATTCGAAAATTATTTCTGCTAATGAAATACCGAAAATATTATTCTCAGGAAAGCCTTCGACAACCTTTTCGAATTTGCCAAATACGCAAACTGTAAACAATCCAACAAAATTAGTATTAAATGTACAATCAACTTCTGTGACGCTCTCGACTCCGAAAATGTCAATTCCGGATCTGTCAAAAAAGGATACTATTTTAAGGAGTAAAGAGAAACTAACAGAAAATCAAGAAGGTAAAATAAAAAAGGAGAAAGAGATCCAGGTCAAAATTAAAGATGAAAGTGATTCTTTGAATATATCATCAAATATTTTTTCGGAGTCAATTGAAGAGAAGAAAACTGATCCATTAAATACTACGGATGAACTGGAGAGTATGTTAGAAGCTATTCACAATCCTGCGGAAAATGTTGAAAATAAGAATGATATTCCAACGACGACTCTGAAAAGAATGTCACCTGTTACCGATGATTTGTCGCTTGTTAACATTTTGGAAAATGATACTGAATCGATGGAAAATGACAAAGAACAAATTTCTTCAGATTCTGATTTACAAAAAGTAACAAATAAATCAGAAGAAATCCAAAAAACCATTGAAGAGACTAATGATAAAAACACAAATGAAAAGAAACATCGGGAAGAACAGCGTACGGAAATGGACAATTCCAAACCATTTCTTCAACATTGTTTGAGTGAAGAAAAGACATTAATAGAAGAATCATCTGATGATATTTTAGATATGTTACACAATATTATTTCATCAAAACCGGAAATGGCAAACAGTAGCGAGTCTAGTATTATTTATCAAATGCCAACTCCATTAGATACTTTGCCCTTAAATATTCTTCAAGACTCTTTAATGGATTTAGAGCAAGAAAATCTCGAAAATGATCAAAGCTCTTCAACTGAATCTAAAAATGAAGTAAAATGTCAAAATGTTGAAGTAAAAAAGAGTTCTCCGGCAACGAGTCAAGCTTCCACTTTGATAGTTAATACCGTGGCACAATTACAAAAGAGTACAACAACAGTTCCTCATTTATCACCGCTTTCGAAGCCAACAGAATTGACTTCTAACGTAGCTAACGTATCCCATCAACTGAGAACATTGCTATCATCTTTACACAGCAATCAAACAACAGTGAATCAAACCGGAGTGGTCACTATGGTTTCTTCAATGAAATCTGGAAATGTTTTATCTACTTCTAGTCCTTTATCATTGAGTTCATCAAATAATGTTCAAAGTGGAATTTCGACTTTGACAAGATTAGATCAAGGTCGTTCTCAACCTAATTTGATCAGCAATATTTCGAAAGATACAGAAATGGTCATGAAAGAGAAAAAAGAATTAAAGGAATGTAGTGAAATTATTACTACAGGTTCGAAAGTCAATAATAACGAGCAGATATTCAGAATGACTTCAACGACAACTTTTCAAACTACTACAGTTTCTAATCTCTCAAGTATTTCTTCAGCTGTAGTTACTTCCAGAAACATTACAACTTCGATCTCCTTCACTTCAAATGCTATGTTGAATGCCATGCTGGGTGGAAATGCTTCCTTAAAACCTTCGATTGCTGGTCGAAGTAATACAATACCAACCCAATCTTCAGTCAATCTTTTAAGTTCTGTTGTACCATCTACTTCAATACAACGCTCGCAAAATCTTCAAGCGATCCTTCAAGTCAGTTCAGGATGTTCTACACCCTCTCGAGTATTGGTAAATACTAGTTCAGCCGTAACTAACTCAATGCAATGCATTAGAACTATTATGCCACCTTTGGTAACTTCTAGTGGTGTTTCAAGTACTGCTAGTATTCTTCAATCGACTTTATCGCAAGCTCCAAGTCCCATTTTGACCTCTAATCAAAACCAATTTAAATCTTCTGGTCTTCTACCAATAGAGAATAAAAATAACGATCTTGAAAATCAATCTACAACAGTAAAAAAAGATTCTGAAGAGTCCAAAATCCAAGAAAAGAGAGAAATAGATTCCAGTAAGAGTTCTTCTAATTCTTTAAGATTAGAGGATTCTCAAAATGTGTTGCTAAAACAATTATTGCAAAATACAGCATGTCCTACGACAACAGGATCGTCACAAGGACCTAGTCTGCCGATAGTTTCTTCACTGGAAGCGCAACTGGCTCGGCCACTCTTTCCTCAGTTACTGAACGAAACCTCAGCACCGAAGCCAGCAATAAAACAAGTTGCGAAGGAAACTTCTTTTTTATCGCATTCAGTAACACCCTTAAAGATACAAAGTTCACCAACTAAAGAGGAATCTGCTAAACCTCCTCCTTCATTATCTAGTTCGATTGCGACACAAAGAGCACAAACTGAAAGCTTGAAGCAGCAAACAAAGTCAGTTTCTACTTCTTCAGCAAGTTCTTCGGGAAATTCTGTATCAACTCAACCAGTTTCTTCAACAATAACAACAACAAAAACGTCTCCGAATATTTCTACGAATCTACAAGAGACTTCTGTAAGTCAAAGCAAACTGGGAACTGGCATGAGCGGGGAAGGGCTTCAAACCCAACAACGCGTTGCTGTTTCTAAACTTGGTTTGCAAAATAAACCAGTGACAACCTCTGCAATAGTCTCGAAAAGCGTTCAGTCAGCGACCAGTAACTCTAATAACATATCTGGATCACAAATTCAAATCCAAACACAATCTCAAAACCAAGCTCCTATCGTGCAGAAGCCAACAGTGGTACAACAACAAGTTCCTTCTTCTTCGACTACTTCCGTTCAGCAACAATCTGTTCAGCAACAAGTGCCTCATAGTTACGGGACCGTCGCGGTTCCACCACAAACCGTTATGGGGTCCGTTACCCCATCAGGTTCCAATACAGTGCCTTTAGTTGAGATTAAGAAAGAAATCGGTCTTGAGGATGTTTTGTCCACTGCTGCCACAACATCAGTCAATCAGTTGCAGACGGATACCAAAGACTTTCTCACTACCAAAGAGGAACTCATAGATGGCGCAATGGATGATAAAACCGGTATGTAACATTTATATGTCATGGCTTATTTTAACATATTACCTCTTCTTTATTATATTTATTTATATGATATGTTTATATTATTTTTGTATTAGGAAATGATATATATATATTTTTTTTGTTACATACATACAAGTTATATCATCTTTATTTTTTATATAAAATTAAATTATATTAGAAAATTTTTGAATGTAATATTAAGATTTTATTAAATCAAATTTATAACGATTAATTTATAACAATTGCATTTGGAATGCTTTAGATCTTAAAAAGTTGAAAAGAAGACAGTATCAACAAAAGAGAAAACAGAGCCAGGGAAAGGATGCCATAACTGCACCTCAGAAAAAACGTTCCCGTAAAGTCTCACGTCTCGATGAGGATTATGACACATTTGTGGACAATTTAATGACCCAGTTGCGACAACTTCAATCGATGGCAGTTCTAGAACCCCAGTTGAGTCGTAATTATGGGGTGTGTCCGATTTTTGGCTGTGGAGATCTTGTTAAGATTGGAAGTCAGAAAGATTATAACTCTAGAATTGGCGATTTGATTGGGAATTATGGATCAGCCAGTTTGTCTGGAATTTCTGATCATTATAATACACAGCCATTTGGAGAATTAGACCCTCTGCCACCTCAACAACCCTCGACTACGCAGAGAGGATTTTATGATCAAGAATTTCCACCTTTAAAATTGGACGATAGTGAGCAATTATTTATTTATATTTTATAATATAATTATAAAATTATAAATAAATTTACTATTAATTATTTAAATTGTAAAAAGTAAGATTAAGAAAAGAAGTAAAAAAGTGGAAATAAGAAAAAAAAAGGAAAGAAATTATAAGAATATAAAAATATGGAAGAATCAAAGAAAAATAATATTAGTATAGTAAAATAGTAAAAATAATATTATATGTATAGTATAAAATGAACGAAAAGATAATATAAATATATCGATATGTGTGTGTGTATTTATAAGAAAAATAATATAAAATATTTAAATTTTCTTTATATAGAAAAATTAAATAAAAGTATTTTTTTATAGCTGATGATAAAAAAGAGAACATGACGACGAATCGCGATGTGGACTCTCCTGATACCATTGTAAATTCGTCCTCACCTGAATGTGTCATACCAGAATTTATGCACCGTTTCCCTGGACTGCGATTGATTGAGGAAGAATCGGATGAAGAAGCAGAATGGCTAAAACGTGTGTCGCCCGTTATACCTCTGATTTCACCAATTCCAATCAGACTAAAGCCTACTTACTTAAAAGATGCAGCTAAACAAGACAAGGAGAATTTTGGAATGCCCAAGTATGTATATTTATTATTGAGTACATAATATAATTTGCTATTATTTATTATATGTAAATATGTATATGGAATATTTTTTATAATATTACATAATTCTTTAGGCTTGGCAAGTCCCCTCCAATTCCTTTACGAGAAAGTGGAAATGTTACTGTAACTTTAACTTTGAATAGTCAAGCTGCCGATGATATAATGGGTGTACTTAAAGATCTTGCTAATATTCTGAACATAACACCACCTGCTGGTTATCAAATAGTTGAACGCACCACTACTCCTCCTAGTCAGAAATTGGGGTTGTACAGGACAAAAGGGAAGGACGGCAAAGAGGGTAGTACGTAATTAATAGAATGATTTTATTTCATAATGTATAATATGTGATAATATTTCGAAAAATTGAATAAAATTTATATAAGTCTGTTATATAAGAAAAAGGAAAAAATGTAAATTATGAAAAAAGTAATTATTAACAGATTAGAATACATAAATGCAATAATGAATATATAAAAACTAAAAACTTTAAACAATATTCAATTCTACAGATCGTCAATGTAACAACATAACTAATACGAATACGAAGCCTATAATAGTCTAGCTTGGATCTTAGTTGCTTATATATAATTTCGCGTGAATTTATATACTGATATATCTAATCTTTCTAAACTGCGCGTCGAACAATTGTCAATCTTGAAACTCTATAAACTACCGCAGTACTATCACGAATTAAGTTGATTAACAATTTAATAATTAATTGATGCTCTTTTGGCATCTTATATCGATGTTAAACTGTATTAAATTTTAATTTTATATATATATATATAATAATATTAATCAAGATTTTTTAAATTTATTGATTTATCTTTTAGCTCCAATTGATATACAAAGCATTCTAAATGGTGCAGCAAAGTTCTGTCGTCATTGTGATGTTGTAATTCTCAATAGTTTAATTCGAAAAAAAGTATCGGATCTGCCATTCTTGAGCAAAGAAGAAGCTGAACCGGGTGATGAACTTTGCTTTTGTTCAGCGGCTTGCTATATGCAATTTGCACTCATGCATCGAACGCCTTCTAATACTCAAGATAAGGTCTATACAAGAAATATTCTCTAATTTATAAAAATATTTTAATATCAAAGATTTTTTTTTATAATAAATAATATTGTAATTTCAAATTGCAAATAAATAGAAAAAAATTTATAGTTACTTTACAATTAACTTATAGTATAGAAAATTTGTAAGTTAATGATATTAAATATACCAATAATATATTATCAATGCACTTATAATATTTATTAATGATTTTTGATAGAAAAATATTTTTCATTGAAGAATATATATTTATATATATAATTTTATTATTTTGCAGGCTGCAACGATAGTAGATCATCTATGTCATAAAACAGAAGCAAAAATGTTAGAAGATGATTTGAAAAGCCTGAAGAAATTTCCCATTAAACAACAACAGCAGCATTTGGAAAAGTTTGAGAATATGGAGATTACTAATGAATTAACAACAGAAATTAAAGTAAAAATCGAGAAATTGGATAATGTCGATAGTACGGACAATGATGAAAAGAGGTCAAAGAAACATTCAATTAATGAAGAAATCAGTGATTCTATTGAACCCCAACCACCTGCGAAAATCTGGAAAGGTTTGAGATATAAAACATGGACGATGGGAGGCATGCAACCTGCAACTAAATTTAAGAAACCTACTGATAGAGAAATTACCGAGGTAAATAATTAATTTAATTACTTAATAATTATTTGAAAAATTTATATAAATAATTTGATTTTCTATATGTGCGTACGTGAGTGCACGTATATACATATGTATATATATATACATATATATATAATAAGTTATATACATACATACATATGTATGTATATAATTTATTATTTTGTTAATTAAAAGTTTTTATATCACGTTATGTATGAATTCATATATGAATATTGATTTCTCTAATATTTAATAAACAAAATTTTAATGTAAAATTTAAAATATAAATTAAATTTTATTTTCTAGATGCTGTTTCGTATGGGAATTGCAGTAGCTCCCGCAAAAGCCGAAGACACCCGTCGTTGCGTATTTTGCAAAAGTCAGGGCGATGCAACAGCCGATGGGCCAGCTCGATTGCTCAATTTTGATGTTGATAAATGGGTACATCTCAATTGTGCATTATGGTCTAACATAGTGTATGAGGCACAGAGTGGCGCACTTATGCGATTGGATGAGGTCCTGCAGAATAATCTTGTACAGATTTGTATCATTTGCGAAAAATCCGCTGGCACTGTTAAGTGCTACAAACCAAGATGCACAAATTGGTACCACCTGATATGTGCCCGTAAAGACGGCTGTTGTTTTTATAAAGACAAGGTAATTATTAAATTATTTGTAAATTAATATTATATTATCGAATATATTATTATAATATGTATAATATGTGCGTGTGTATATATACAAGTGTTCCGCTTATTGTTAGATGTAAGTAAAAAAATTTTTAATATACAAAGTATTAATTCTAATAACAAAAGGTGAACACCTATGTAAAATAACAGCTTTGAAATTTATAAATTCAGCGACTTTGGGTGCATAGTATATCACAGAAATATATTTTTTTCTCTTACATTATCGGAGAAGCTTCAATATTAAATGTCTAAGCGGAGCATCCTGTACATCAAGAATAAGATAAAAATAAGAACTTAAAAAAAATATTCTCAGTACAATCAAGTTTCTATTTTTTGTTTTTCATAAATTTTTTCTAAATTTTTAATTCTTTATAGTTTTTATTTTATTTTTCTTATGCAATTTTAAATATAATTAAATTTTTCTTTCAGACTATGGCTTGTCCTCAACACCTTATAAAAGATAAAGACAAAGAATTAACTACCCTTTCTGTTTACCGTCGCGTCTACGTCCAACGTGATGAAAATCGTCAAGTTGCTGCGGTAATGCACCATTCTGACAATAAACATTTACTTCGTGTGGGTTCCCTTATCTTTCTCAGCGTTGGTCAACTACTTCCTCATCAATTACAAAACTTCCATACGCCCAACTATATTTATCCGGTGGGCTATAAAATCGTGCGTTTTTATTGGAGTATGCGAAGACCTAACAAACGTTGTCGCTATGTTTGCTCGATCCATGATGTTTCTGGTCGTCCGGAATTTCGTGTCCTAGTCCAAGAACCTCTTCAAGAGGATGTTGAACTAAGAGATGCTACTCCGCGAGCAGTTTGGAGTCGAATTTTAGAGCCATTAGCAGAATTGAGGAGGAGTACAAACTCAGTACAATTATTCCCGAGATACGTTTCGGGAGAAGATCTGTTTGGTTTGACAGAGCCAGCAGTAGTGCGAGTACTGGAAAGCTTGCCTGGAATTGAGACTTTAACCGATTACAGGTAGGAATTGGATGTTATTTTGGAATTAATTTAGAATGATATCAACAATTATTTCCGTATGATATATACCAACTTTTTGCTTTTGCTACTAGCTTTTGCAAAACATTTAGTTTCTTAGAAAGGAATAATAACAAAACATTTCTTAATTTTAGATTTAAATATGGTCGTAACCCGCTATTGGAATTGCCTTTAGCCATCAATCCAACAGGAAGTGCACGTACGGAGGCACGTTTACGCAACCAGCTACCGTGGAAACGACCGCACACGCAACGCACAGGGGGCTTTGCTTCACGTGGAATGCCATTTGGTTTGCCAACCTGTGGTCCTGCAGCAACAATGGGAGGTGGAGTCTCTTCGACATTAGTTGCAGCAGCTGCTGCTGCCGGCGAAGCCGCTTCCTGTCCATACTCGAAACAATTCGTACATTCCAAAAGCTCACAATACAAAAAGATGAAACAAGAATGGCGTAATAATGTTTATTTAGCAAGATCAAAGATTCAAGGTCTAGGACTATACGCAGCGAGAGATCTGGAAAAACACACAATGGTGATCGAATACATTGGAGAGATCATTAGATCAGAGTTAGCGGAAACAAGAGAGAAACAATATGAAGCTAGAGTAAGTAATAGAAGGTCTCTTCTGATTATATTCTATTAATCAATTACTCTTATTATATTATAAATTAATTATTCTTCAACACACACACGCACACGCACGCACTAGAATATATTCATATATTTATTTGTTTATTGCAGAATCGTGGTATATATATGTTCCGATTGGATGAGGAACGAGTAATAGATGCGACTTTATGTGGTGGTCTTGCTCGTTACATCAACCATTCTTGCAACCCGAACTGTGTCGCTGAGATCGTTGAAGTTGAACGTGATTTCAGGATTATAATTTTTGCCAAGCGCCGAATCTCACGTGGCGAAGAAGTAATTATATGTTTCTTTATATAAAAAAAAACAACCTAAGTGTTTTGTTTATTTTTTGATATTATTTTCCCTTTTTAAAATTATAAATCCCCATGTATGAATACTTTTTATCTCAAATATTGTATTAATTTTTTTATTATTATTACATTAGATTTATTTATTTCCTTTTGCAGTTGGCATATGACTACAAATTCGACATTGAAGACGACCAGCACAAAATTGCATGCGCTTGCGGTGCACCCAATTGTCGTAAGTGGATGAATTAAACAAAGATGACGATATAGAGAAGAAACAGGAAAAATGAGAAAATAAAGAAGAAAACTCAATTTCTCCATCCTGCCTATTGTTATTATTGTTGCTATGTTATATAAGGTAGGAAATTGTATAGAAATAATTTCCTGTGTAGAGGGAAAACGATAAGATATATATGTATATATATTATATATATGTATATATAATATAAAAGTGAAAACATATTCTATTAAATATATAAATACAAAGTTTATATTATATATCTATTTGTATTATATAGATATATATAATATATGGATATATATTATATATATCTATGTTTATGTATATTATATATCTATATATGTTACACACAGCATACAGATACACACACATACATATATATGTGTACACTACATAAATATAAAATAAGCACTAGGCCATTGTAATTTGATTTGTAAAGTGCCATTGCGCAATATTAATAACAATTAACCCCGGATATACTTCTCAATTATAATAATATTTAACGGTTCGTTAAAATATGATTTGATAGTAGATTATTACACAATGTGTAATGAAATTATTAGGAGATACGATGGTATGTCGGCGCTGAAACAAGCCACACTATCGTGTATAATATTCCTCTCAATTTATTAAGAGAAAATTCTATATTTTTTGTAATTATATTATGTAATCAAAAATTATGTTTAGATTTTAAACAAAGATAAAACTGCTAAAGAACAAATTATATGTATAAGTATATTTTATCTACACAAAGAAAGTTTTTAAAAACTTGCAAATTAACTGACAAAGAGAGGAATACATATTATTATATTAAAAATATTTTTTGTTTTTATAGAGTAATTAAATAATATAATATATTTTTGCCTTTTTTTTACTTGACAAATTGGAAGAATTTATTTTTTTTTTTTCATAATAATTTGCGCACGCGCAAGAGAGAGAGAGAGAAAGCGAACGTTAAGATAAATTTTCTTTAGTTTGTAGGAGTGATCCAGGGTTACAAACTAAGGGATAAATAAATTGAAGAAGTTGTGGTGCTAATCAGAATCGCCATCACATTCCTCCAAAGTGTTGTACAATATATATTATAGTTATCATAAGAGAAAACATTGAATGCTTGTATATTGTATATGAGATGAGAAAAAAATATTGAAAGATAGGGAAAAAGGGAAAATGGGTTGTATGTAACAGAAGATAAAGAGAATTTCAATCTTTGTGCTTTTGGTCTGATGATGATTTGTTGTAATATAAAACATTTATATAATAATAATTATTATTATCATCATCATGTATAATTAAAATGATATAGATACACACGCGTACCGTGTGCACAGCACTGTTTCTGTATATAATATTATATATATATACATATACACACATATATTATACAAAGTAGTTTTATTTTCGAATCACCCACTATATGTATGTAAAGCGCAACTGAGAAAATCTGAAGCGATTTGGAAGAATTATATACAATTATTATACCGATTTCATTATGCGACTGATTTTTAATAAAAAAATATTCCCTTTCCATCTTTTTTAATACCTATTTTTTGTTATATTGCGGAATTAGACCTTCCACACAAGAACATCTGTAATACATTATATTATGTTAAATATCAATCGTAAAATAAAGTCTGAACGTAATATCAATGCACAAACAAATATTAATGTTAAATATTATGTTATTAAATATTATGATTTTCTTTGTGCATTGATGTAAGTTTACTATTATGTACAAACTTTAGTTTACGGTTCAATAATTTACGATTCAATACTTAACATGACGCAGATGGTCTTGTGCAGAGTTTTATTTTTAAATTGTTTAATATTTAAAAAATTTGTTAAATATATGCAATATAATTATTTATAATTTTTTATTTTTATATCTACATAATATGATATTTACAGAAGTACATATAATAATAGTAATGCATAAATATAAAACGCAGTCATTTCGGAATTCATTATATCAATCAATAAATTTCTTCAAATTATAATAATAGAAACATGATAATATTATTAACAAAAATATATTTACAAATATATGTTTACAATGGCAGCAAATCAAGGAGTACAACAAAATTTTATTTCTTTTAATTCATTTCCTAGTTACTTAATGAATAAAATTAAACATGCTATTTAAAGTTTTCATATGACGAAATTAAAAATTAAATGTGAATATATGTAAATATTAAATCTTGACATATGTATACAGAGTGAGGCATTTAAAACAGGTTACTTGAATAATTCGCTTGTATTTAACAATAGAAGAAAAAGTATCAAACAAAAGTTGCTTGCATGGTTTCGAGAAGCACATAATGTCATGTCAATAATTGTTTTGTAGGTGGAGGCGTAAAGGATAGGCAAAGGTCAAATCTGTTTTTTTAAATGGAATGATGTTTTTTTATTTACACATTCTGATAGAGCATTTTAAGATGAATACAGTGACTTATAATTGAAAGTCATTCAAGGTTACGCAAGATCAATAATAGAAAATAATTGAATGGAAAATAAATTGTTTCAAGGCACTCTTCGTATAATTTCGTGTCTTCTCTGCTTGTTGGTATACCACGTTCAAGTGTATCACGGTATGTAAATAAACATTGAATAGCACATAGTGTTATCTATATTTACTAATCAGTTTGAATTTATCAATCGAAGTACGTGTCTTGCAAAATATATAGATCACCATAGATGAAAATTATATCGACTTTTTTCGCTTTCGTATAACACATTTCGCAAGACACGCACTTCGATCGATAGATAAATTCAAACTGATCGATAAATATGGATAATGCTATGTGCGATTCAATGTTTATTTATACATACCGTGATACACTTAAAATGATTAGCGGTATACCAACAAGCAGAGAAGACACGAAATTATTCGATAAGTGCTTTGAAATGATTTATTTTCCACTCAATTATTTTTCATTAATGATCTTGCATAATCTTGAATAATCTTTAATTATAAGTCACTGTATTCGTCTTAAAATGCTCTACCAAAATGTAAATAAAAAAACATATTCCGTTAAAAAAAAAACAGATTTGATCTTTGTCTATCCTTTACGCCTCCACCTACAGAACAATTGACATCACATTATGTGCCCCTCGAAACCAAGCAACTTTTGATACTTTTCCTTCTCTTGTTAAAAACAAGTGAGTATTCAGGTATTCGATACCTATATGGTATCGATCGTGTAACTCCCTAGGGCGGAAACGTGAAGTGAAAATATTTGTATGTATATGTGTGTATATATTAATTCATACATTTATAAGTTTTCACTTTTCACGTTTCCGTTCTAGAAAAAAAGTTACATAATTGATACCCTGTTTTAAATATCTCACCCTGTATACATACATACGTCTGTATGCATGTGTCATGTGTATATATACATATACACACACACACACACATACACGCAATATCATGGAAGAAACGGAATATATTTATTAGAATGTATATAAATGCAATATTCTTTGGCATCTCTCTTTTTCGAATTCTAACGATTTAAATTTATTATTCGTCTGTGTACAATTATAAAACACAATCATAAGGAATAATTTTGCAATAATGTTTGATAATATACAACTATATCGAATGAGGAAATACTACTATATCATCGTTACATCAAAACAAATTTTTGCATATTAGTAATTTTTCATTTTAATTATATAATTTTCGGTGCATGAAGTTTTGTTATAGTCAATATATATATATATATTTACATAAATATATATATATTTCTCGGAAAGAAATTTTAACCTTTTATTTGTTATCAAATCAATTATTTTTGCTAGGAAACGAGAAGATTGCCTAATCAATCTTGCATGGAAAGTATTAATTATCCTTATTTTCTTTTCTCTCTAATGTATTCTAGTTATTTTTTCTGTTATTTTGAAAAATTTCATACCATTAGAAAGAATAAAGATTGCTTATTAATACTAGCTTTTTTTCCATTATAAGTCATTTTTTATAGATGTACATTTGTTTTATAAACTGCATGGAGATATTTTAAATTGACTTTTCAATTTTTTTCTCGAAGAGAATGGTTATAGAAGAACTTTTACGATAACTTCACTTTACTACCTTCCATGTAACTTTTCCCTTAATTAACTATAAAATGTAATAATTATAAAATATCGTACATTTGTAAAAAAATTTATAAAAGATTTATTTTTAATACTTAATAATTAATAAGATCCTTAAATATAATTTTGAATCTAAAAATTTTGTATCCTTGTATTATTTATAATAGATTATTATGAGTTGTAGCAATAGGTAATTATTTCATATAATTTATAAATTATATGTGTTATTAACTAATAAACTAATAAATTTGACTAACACAGCCAACACAATCTTCATTCTTTCCTAAATATTATAATTTTTCAATGACTTAATTTTAATATTCAATCTCAACAGCAAACTTTTCATATTTGTTCGACAAGGAAGATGTCCTGAGTAACATCCTGATAGCTGGATGTAACAATCTTGATGGATCCTGTTTACGTTGCTGCCAGGTCAACTCTGTTGCATGCAACAAATAAATACGAATTTTATTATAAATAAAAAAATGTTGAATTTTACAGAAATTAGACCGAAATTGTAGATTAATTATAAAAAATAATTTCACTTTTAGTAAATAGCTTTGTCAATTAAAAATATTAAAATTTGTTATAAAAGGCAATTACTATTATTCTACTTATTATTTTGATTATTTCTGTAATTAAAGATTTTATCATTACATATTATGCTTCAAAAAATATATATGTGAATATACAAAAAATATTTACAATTTTATATTATTAATATTATAATACTTGTATATATATACGTGTTGTGTATATGTATATGTGATTGTGTGTGGTGCGCGCATGTTTTCCTTGATTTAAAAACTATGCAATATATAAATATAAAAATAAAAATAAATACAATATATATAATCAATCATGATAAAGTTTTGATCTAATGTTGTGTACACATAATAATTGATAATACTTCTAAGACTATAATGCATGCAAAATTCCATCAAAGCCAACATTATTTTTATAAGAATAATAGGCTCGTATGATTGTAAAACAATATAATTAATATCAAGGCTTATTTTAACCGAGCAATAAAAGTTAATTTATATAATAAGATAAAAATCTCATTTTAATGACTATACGTACAATAATAATTATTAGGTTATTTATTGTTATTATTTATCATCACTGAAGACCTTGTAAGTCGAAACGTTTAAAAAAATTATATTATTGTACGTATAGTCATTAAAATGAGATTTTATCTATATTATATAAATCAACTTTTATTGCTTTTGTGTGTGTGTGTGTGTGTGTGTGTGTGCGCGCGCGCGTGTGTTCGTGCGTGTGGTTAAAATAAACCTTGATATTAATTATAATTATTTTTATGTAATATATATATGTAAAAATATTTCTTCACGTTTAAATAATTATATATTTAATTAGATTTCGCTCGTTTTTTGCAATGCAAAGTATAAAAAAAACGGTCTAAATCGAATGGTAATAAGATTTTTTTATAAAATAAATTTCTAGTTTATAATGTTAATACAACACAAAAAAATATAAAATTTAAAATATATAAAAATATATGAAAATAGTATCGAACGTTTCGGAACTCACGAGTCCTTCTTCAGCGATTCTTATAGATGTTACAAAGTCATAGAGATGAAGACATAATCTTTTTATTTTATAAAAAAAGTCTAAGGTCTAAGCGATATGTTGTGGTACAATTTGTTCGTAGGAATTGATTTTCCTGTTTTTGTGTGAATACGTCAAGATGCTCCTGTTTTCACACATTTTATTACACAATTTCCACATTCACACAAAAACAGGAGAATCAATTTCTTCGAACAAATTGTACCATGTCGATTAGACCGTAAAATTATGCTTTTATCTGTATGACTTTGTAACATCTATAAGAATCGCTGAAGAAGGATTCGTTCGATTTTTAGATTGTTTTTTCTTTATACTTTGAATTATATATTTATAATTATTTTAAATTTTTATATATAATTGTTTAAATAAGTAATATTTTTATGCGCTACAGAAAATAATTGGGTATTATTCATAGAAATACAAATAAGATTTGAAGATCGTTGATCTTTATTATTATATTACGTAGTTTATAATAAGTATTTATTACGATATATATCCACATATATTACAGTTTTATGTACAAGGAGTTTGCTATAAGCTAGAAAATGCAGGTAATTTTCCTTAAAAGAATTTAGGAATAAAAAGTAAGAGTCAGATAAAAAAAAAACTTTTAAAATAATAGAATGAAAAACAGAAAAATATGTAAAGGACAAAAGAGAAAAATTATTAAATATAAAAAACATTTTTACAAAATTATTTGATTTAAAAACTTAAAAAAACAAGTTTCAAAAAAAAAGTTACATTAAAAGATGATTTAAATCATTATATAAAAAAATTAAACAATATCTTTTTTTATTATTAATTAATTTTATAAGTATAGTCTATATACAGAACCAGTTTTTTCGCATAACATATATCGACTAAAACATTCGTATGTTTATTTTTCTTAAATAATTATTTATATACTAATTTTTATTATATTCATGTTTTTCTTATTCATAAATATACATGTACATATAAATATATATGCAAGTATATACATACATACATATATATGTATGTATATAGATATAAATAAATATATACATGTATATATATACATATATGTTTTGTACGATAGTATATATAAATTACTATAATTTGTAGAAATTAAAAAATCACTATAATTTTATTTTTATCTATTTTCTTAATCGTTATTAACTTTGTTTATTAGTCTAAAATTATAATAAAAACATTTTTGTTACAATTGCCTAATTTTGACATACCTATTAATTGTATTCATATCCAAATTTATACTTAACTAAAGTTTAACCATATGGCAAAAATAAATATTTATTGCAACATAATTTGTAAAATTCAAAAATTTGAAGTAATTTCATTACACAGATTATATAAAAACTAGGAAGACAAAAATTTTAATTATATTTAAATCAAATTTAATAAATTTTTACACATAAATATATATGAAAATTTTATACTCTGCATCCGTAATAAAACGGATCATTATAATAACGTTACATTAGCACGCTTTTATGCAGGTGAGTTTATATGTAATAATTTTAAGGCCATACCACTCATCATGGATCTTTAGATTAATGACGTTAAAAGCGAAGAAATCACATAATAAAAAAAATTCGTGAAAAAATATATTAAAATATAGAAATCTGTTTTTCAATAAAATATTTGCATAAAATATACTTGTAAAATATACCGAAAACTCTTCTTTACTTCAAACAAATAAAAAATCATATTTATTTCAATTCGATAGTTGTCATATGCTTGTTTCATTTTTTGGTGTTAGGCACAATTAAATTTTAAGTATATGATTATTAAGTATATTATCAATTGCAAGTGTAGTTTTATTAAACAATACTCGCATTTTAATACAATTTGCAAGAATTTTTTTTATATATTTTCCTCTCTTTTGACGTTATAATTCGACATGAGTGAGTTGGTAGGAGTTTTAATGCAAAAATTTATATTTATCGTAATATGATAAATGTTAAATATATATGATGTTAAAGAAACATTTAATTAATCATTAAGATTAAAAATATAACAATTTTATTATTATATGTATAAAAATTAGAGAAAAAGGAGAAAAGTGAGAAAGAAAAAGAGAGGGAAAAGGAATGGAAGAAAAAAGGAATGGATAGGAAAAAGGCAAAAGACATTGAGAAAGGAAGAGAAAGCGAAACAGTAGTTTAGAGTTATCTTTAAATATAAAATATACATTTCATATAATTAATATCAATAAAAAATATATTTACACATAATATAATTTATTCAGTTTAAATAAAAAATATGGCATGCTTAATTTTACATCTATCTTTTATATAAATTTCCTAATTAACATTTAAGAGAAAAATTAGAAAGGAAAAATTATTTATATTGTACGTAAAAAACTTAACAAGATATTACTGAAAGCAACAAATGTATTATTAGTTGCATATAATACAAAAGCACAAAAAATTGCTCGAGAGTATAAAAAGTTATATAAATAAAAAATATATCAATTTAATATTTGACTCAAACCATTCATAAAATAACAAATTTGTAAATATTTTTCTTTACAGTTATAAATGATTGACACAATTTTTTCAACTTCCTATGACAGCAAGTTGAAACGTAAAAATTTTCTTCTATCCAGTCTTAACAGCCTCTCAACTTTTATATATTTTTAAATTTGCATATTTAATATCTGTGCGCAAACTAACAATATGGTGAAACAGCATAATATTGTATATTATCATTATTATTCCTTCGATATCTTTAATAAAATAGAATTTGTAGAAAGAAGAACAAAATGAGATAATCATCTTCTATTATTCTAAAAAATAAATAAGAGAAAGAAAATAAACAAAAGAGGACTTTTTATACAAAGAATATTTAATAGTATAAAATGTGCTACACACCAGAAACACCCAAATGAAGTAAAAAGTTAAAATAGATTGAAAGCAAAAATTTCCAAAAATAAAAATTTATCGAAAATCGAAACATAAAATACATGGACTTTCATACATAAAATAAAACTATTTTATTAATATCAGAAAGAATACTATCTTTTTCGGACCTGACGCATATAATATATTTTTTTTTAAGGATTATTTAAATTTTATATAGTTATACACAGCACAACACACACACATCTTTTTAGGCTCTCATTCAAAGCGTGTGTGTGTGTGTGCGCACATTTTTTTTAAATATGTAGCCATATAATGAATTTTACATATGTATTTAACCAATTTTACATAAATTAACTTTTACGTAAAATTAGATAAGAAGTCAGATCTGAAGGGATAAATAAATAAATCCAACAAGAGCTAAAATAGTTACTGCAATCAGAAGGCATGGCAGAAGTATAAAAGAATTAGTGGCGTTACTACTATTAATTAAAATAATTAAAAAATTTCTTAAAGACAAATCTTTTTGATTTACTTAAAAAGAAATTATCTTTTTGGTTGTATTATGTTTGACATATATTATCTGATCGAATAATTGCGTCACTGAATACAGTATACAACAAAGAGCAAAATACTATCCAATTCAGATATAGCAAACAGAACCGTATTTGCATTGAGATCCTCCCTCTATACGCTTAGTTTCTTTTCCTCCAGCTGGTCGATCGAAGAAAAAAAAGTTTGATGCAGCTACAGTTCAACCTCACGACATTAGAATAGGATAATATTTTTATTCTCAATTATATTTTATAACACTTAATAACACCACTGTAATGTGATGTGCTGTCGGATATATTGTTAGTTTGCGTCACTCTTGTCTATCGTTAAACATCAACATCACCAGCACCAACACCAGCACCGGGGTCAGATTAGCCCGCATAGGCCATAAGCATTGCGTCAACCAACGTCACCGGTGGCATTATAGTCCTGATTGCCACCGTTCAGCTTGCGACCACCGCCGCCATGAATGGCAATCCGGTAACTGTACCTATTAGTTGTGGCTGGTCGTTCGGGGACCGGCGGTGGTACTAGAGCTCCTTCCGCGTTCCCTACGGTTCCAGTAGGTCCAAGCATCGTGCCTTCATCCACCTCGCCAATGCTGCTTTCAACAAGCGATGATTCCATCTCATTGAACGCCAGTCGGGAACGTAGAAGATAGGCATATGTTTTATACCGCTTCAGCTGGAACGAGGGTTGCTCTGTAGAGTATGATGAAGTGAAAGGACAACTTTAAGTGGAATAGAAAAAGAAATATATATCCATTCTAATTAAAAAGAAAAAACATTGAGTAATTTTGAATAGGCATTAATAAATAATTAAGCTTATTAAACATTGAATATATATAAACAATTGAATTGAACTTTCCACTTTTTAACAAGTTGATTTAGATTATTTTAATTTTAGACGTATTAATAAGAATCAGCAGCTTTATTATCTTTAAAATAAGTGTTAGAGAAAAATTTATCTAAACTATATGATAGATTACACATAATCTGTATGTATTATTTTTTAATTTTGATAATGACTTATTATCAAAATAAAATAAATCATTATCAAAATTAAAAATGTTATGCACATAGCGCATTTGCAAATGCAAGAAGAGGAAAGTAAAGAAGATAACAGAAAAATAAAATTATAATTAGAATATGTGAAAAAAATAAAAATAAAATTTTTTATAAGATTGAAATCTTTTAAATAGTAATATTGTTGATAAAAAATTCGTTACTTATAAATTAAATAACTATTTCTTTGTTAAAAGATTTTCAAACTTTTAAATTTTAATCATCTATCCAAAATGTAAAAATTTTGAAATGGATAGAAAAAGATCAATTTTCGCATAATGAGATTTAAAAAAAATGTTTAAGATTTTTATTTTTAAAGGATTTTTGTTAAAGATATCTGAAAAAGATATTATATATATATATTAGTGAAAAATATCAAAATTGTTAAAAATTATCAAGAAATGTTTATATTACGATGTTTCTCGCTTAAAAGTTACCTCGTGATGTAAATATGCGTCTTTTTCCTTATAATTTTGTACAGTGAGAGCTTTAGCGCCTCTTTCCGGAGGATGTCGTCTATGCTCGTCCAGATCCGTTTCTAACCTGTTAATCCTGTCTTCATGGTCCCGCAACTGTTCTCTCTATTAACAAATTAATTTAATCTTCTCTTTTTGGCTAAACAAATGAAGAAATTAATTTATCACGAAAGAATATTTTTAAGGTTTTATTTCGAAATATTTACATATTTCTAACATCTGAAAAAACTTCAAATTTATCTTCTAGATGTACCATAAATATTTTTCTTATATAATATAGTCCACATATCATGATCACTTAAAATATTGTCTTGATTATTTTTTCAAATTATAAATTTCATAGATTTTCAAAGCTGATAAAGTAACGCAAAAAGTTTTTAATTAAGTTTTTATGATTTCAAAATCACTTTTATTTTTAAAATTAAACTATTAAATTTTTTGTTATGAATGTTTATTGTAAAACATGATTCATATACAATATATATGTATGTATATATATATATATATCAAGTTATAAAATACTTAATTTCAAATTAATGTATCATTTTATAAATTAATTAATTTAAATTAAAAAATCCTGTAAGTATACGCGCAGATTTAACTAAATAACAATTAAAGGGGTATGTTAAGTTAGCACCCCAACTATAGTACTCAGGAGTTCTGATTTGAGTTTCCACTTCCTTTTGACGAGACGAAGAGTTCCCTATAGTTAATAACAAGAGTTCCGCTCAATAAACATTTTTTTACATTTTTACATTTTTAAAAATGGGGTGCTATAACTTTTTATCGAATTTCGAGGTGAAATAGTTCTGAGCGGCTTAATAGCTTCAATTTGCGATTGCCTAGAGTTCCTGATATGTAAAAAAAATTTTCAAATATTAAAAAAAAAATTAAAAATTTTTGAAAAATTAATTTTTAGATACAATAGTTCTGATGATAATTCCTGCTTCTTTTTGACGATACGAAGAGTTCTCTATGATTTTTAATGACATATGCGCTTAATAATTATTTTTTAATTATTTTTTAAAAATGGGGTGCTAACTTTTTAACGAAATTCAAGGTCGCATAGTTCTGATCAGCTTAACAGAAGTATTTTGTGAATACCTAGAGTTCTTGATACATAAAAAACATTTTTGAAGAATAATAAAGTTTAAAAAAAATAGTAGAAATCTTTGAAAAATTTTTTGAGAGTACCGAGTAGTTCTGAGTTGCGTTTCTTATAGTACTCGACGAGTTCTATCGAAAACTGTAAGGTGGAAAAGCGATTGGACCAACGGTTTGCAAGATACAGCGACATTTGTCAGAAGATCAACAATTTTTAGAGTATATCTCAGAAACCGTTGGTCCAATCGCTTTGAACCCTGATACTTTTCGACAGAGCTCGCCGAAAACTGTCCAGAACTCCGAACAGAATTACTCGGTAATCCCAAAAAATTTTTCGACGTAGGACTTGGAAAAAAATTTTTGGTCAAAAATTTTTTGGGAGTACCGAGTAGTTCTGTTCGGAGTTCTGGACAGTTCTCGATGAGTTCTGTCGAAAAGTATCAGGGCTCAAAGCGATTGGACCAACGATTTCTGAGATATACTTATTTAAAAATTGTATGATCTTACAAATTTAACAAATGTCGCTGTATCTTACAAACCGTTGGTCCAATCGCTTTTTCACCTTACAGTTTTCGATAGAACTCGTCGAGTACTATAAGAAACGCTACTCAGAACTACTCGGTACTCTCAAAAAAATTTTCAAAGATTTCCATTATTTTTTTTAAACTTTATTATATTTCAAAAATGTTTTTTATGTATCAAGAACTGTAGGTATTCACAAAATAGTTCTGTTAAGCTGATCAGAACTATGCGACCTTGAATTTCGTTAAAAAGTTAGCACCCCATTTTTAAAAAATGTAAAAAAAATGTTTATTGAGCGGAACTCTTGTTATTAACTATAGGGAACTCTTCGTCTCGTCAAAAGGAAGTGGGAACTCTAATCAGAACTCCTGAGTACTATAATTGGGGTGCTAACTTAACATACTCCAATTAAAGAATGAGATGTTCAAGGTACACTCACAGAATTTAATTTGGTGTGACTACATGGCAGCAATGGACGCTGGAACTTGCGCTGAGACCCAACAGCGCCTGCAAGAGGCTGACACGAAAAGCTGGCGCATACGAAATTGATAGTATCGATCCACGATTGCAGCTCCTTCGAATCGCTGCACATATCGATATATTATACATAATCATCTTCTAAACAATTCATATTAATACTTAAATATTAATACTTAAAAATTGAAACTGAATTACATCCATAATTTATATAATAATTTGTAACTACACAATTAGAATTACAATTTTAATAATCATAAATTTATAATCTATAACAGTTAGAAACATTACTTAAGCAATTTAAAATTCAATTTTACATTACTAATAGAAATTTCCGAAATTTAACATAATATACTAACCTTGTCTGAAAGAGATACTCAGCCTGATCGGCAGTCTGCAATCGAAAAACATGCTGCTTTTTTGTGTAATCAGTCGCCTTGGTAGCTAACGCATGATGAATACGTATAGCATTGTGCAAACTGTCGTTACGAAAACCGTGTTCATCTTTGTGCAAGTATAGCACAAGCTCGCGCAATGTACAATAGTACATCTTCCATCCACGTTTACCGAACGGAGCTGTGTAACATTTTATATGAAAGATAATAAAAGATATATAGAAGAAAAATATAATATATGAGATTATATGATATAAAATAAACATTATAATTAATATATTTCGCCGTGAAAGAAAATATAAGCATTGCATACTTTTTTTGCCATTGGAGTCATAACAGCATTTACGCATAACGTAACCCTTTTTAAACTCTGTAGCGCCCGTAATATTTGGCACATCAAGAAATGGATTTCCAGTTCCGGCAATTGCCACCGTACCATCCCCTTGCTGCATCGCTTGATTTGTTGCTTCATCCCCTTCTTCATCCCTAAACAATGGAAAGCCAAATTTTCTTAAAAAGCATATAAATAAAAGTTTTAAGATTAATACTTAATTATTGTTTGAAAAAAACAAATACACAGTCCAATTGTTAATCTTAAAGAAATTATTAATACTAATTGCAAAAATTTAATTATTATTCTAAAGAAGGCAAGTTTATAACGTCACTCTCGCTTACAAAGCCCATTCGAGGGGAAAGGATTTAATGGCGTTGTAAAGCTGCTTGAGCACTTCACGTGGAAAATTGTCGCCATCATTGAGCTCTGATAAATTCTCAATGAATTCTGAACATGACATCTTTCTACCAATATTATGACCATGCAAGTCTGTATTAAGCAGCATTATCGCGCAAGTCAATGTATGAACAGCATCTAAACAAATATTTATGGTAAATAAATTTAACTTTGTGTATATGCGTGCGCACGCATGTGTGTACAAAGTGTTCGATAACTCTCGTGACAATGCTCATATGCAAGTAAAGTGGACTAAACTGAGTCGAAAAATCCTGTACCATTTTGCAATTTTCACAATAGTTAACGAGATATTAATTATTAAAAATCGCCGAATAAACACATATCTGCCCGTCTACAGCCAAATCTATATGCATGGCGAGATACGATTACCTAGCGATCGTGATTAGCTAGATGTGCAGGGAGTTGTTTACTGTAAGCAGTATAATAATGCATGAATGGCAAAAGAAAATAACTTCTCGCGATGGGTGATCATATCTTGCTGCTTGCTTGCATTTGCGATAGACCGAGCGCACTCGTTCAGAAAGTTTTAATAATAAATTTTTCGTTAATTATTGCGAAAATTGCAAAATAGTACAGAATTTTTCGACTAATTTAATCTGTCTTAATTGCACGCGAGGGTTGCTATGAAAATTACCAGACATCCTGTGCGCACATACATGTATTGATATATATACTATATATTGTATGTACGTGTGTGCGCGTGCGCGCGCATTGTGTGTACACATACAAGAGAATACATTAATTTTAATAATTTTAGATAAATATCATTTAATATTATTCTAATTAAATATATTTTTTTTTATTTACATAAAATACCCTTAAACATATACTCAACTAATTTATATCTGAAAACACTCACCTTGAGAATTGAAACTACCGGGATTACAATCTAAATATCTTTTGGAGAAATGTACTAAGACTCTCTCTCTTTCTTGAGTCTCTCCCGTCAGACAAAATTGAGCGAGAAATTTTCTGAGAGCCATGTCCAATGTGTCTCGTTCAAAGTTGAAATAGCGTAGATACTCTTCTGCTACGGCTTTGCTAAAGTCGTTGCTACAAATACAAAGTATGTATGACATTCATGAAACCAATACTTTTTCTTTCATAAATTCTCCTAAAAATTTTTTTAACAATTTTCATATAAAATGTTGAATTTTTATTATTTAAAAAAGAAATGGAAAACTCTAAAAAGTCTTGAAAGATACAATAAAAAAAATTAGAGAAAGCTTACTTTTTGCTTAGATGTCTAGAGACATCAGATTTCTTGAAACCATCTAAGGAATAGAGACGTTTGGCCAATCGAATTGCAGAAGGCAAATCCACTGCTTTTGGACTATAATGAAAACTGTGCAAACTTTCAATATCGCTTTCCTCATCCGCTGACTGCGGCGGTGACGTGCCACTTCCATGTCCTTTCTGTTCATCGCACATTCCAACGATTAAGGCCTCCCTTTCATCTTCACTCTCTTTCAATTCCTAAATTCGATAATGAGCAAATAAGTAATATTACAATTACTATATATAGTAATATATAAAAATTAGAAATCAATTTTTTAACTTAAAATCAATAATTTATAATCAATAAAAATATTAAACGCAATTTAATAAAATATTAATTTACTTTGATATTTTTCAATCTATTCATGTATAAAAGAAATAATTTCAAAAAGTTCGTCTTCTAATTATTATAAAATTTAATATGTATAAGTGTGTTATAGAACAAATGTTTAGCATTTACAGAATAAATAGTATTGAATCTCAATAAACATGGAGAAATTAATCCTGTTAAAGTTAAAATTAAATATGTATATAGTGTGTGAGTTGTTTCTTAACAAAATGTATACAATAGTATTATTATACTATTTATAATAATATTATAATATTTTTACTGCTTGCATTATTATTGCATCACATTATGAAGTTTACATTATTTTAACAGGATCAATAATGATAATAATTCAATTTGATTAATTTTGAATAAAATTCGATAAAATTCCATAATATTACCTGATAACCTACACATTCGGGTGTTACAGATCCCGCAATAATTCCAGGAACTCCTGGAATTCCAGATTGATTTCTCTGCAAATTTTGGGATACAGCAGGCGGCACTAGGTCTCCAATGGGATTTCCTCTTCTCCTCGCCTGTCTGGGACTCGTATTTCTTGGAATTTCTTTATCAGGCCCTTTTACTTGAATCACTATTCTATGGTCTCCAGCATCCTGAGGATTAGCCTTCAGTCTTCTCTGCGGTGGTTCACTCGCCAGAATGGTGGAATCACTATCGCTGGGATCGCTTACCATCATAATATCCCTCGCGCTAAGAATATCCATCGTTTCTTCATCATTGTAGTCTGGACTGGACATGTTGCTGATGGCCTCCGACTGGCTGAAATCGCCATTAGCAGGGAGATGACCTCCCGGGGCGCTGGAAACCCCGGGAACAGTTTGGACCGGAGGGAACCTACGGGAACCAGAGTTGGAGGACATGACGGAGGACGAGACGGAGGTGGGGGAAGCAGGGGACAGAGAACGCTGAGGGCTCGTCGAAGAGGATGATGAGGACGAAGACGAAGATGAGGAACCGCCGTTTTGGCAACAGGAAACTGCTGGTGAGCTGACAGGCGCGTTGTAAGTCCAGACAATTCGCTCGTTTGGCATTAGGCCTTCTGGCCGCGGATCCAATAGTGTATTCAGACTTGAAGTGACATCATCATCAATGTCGATATCCACGGCACTCATTGAAGGATCTTTCTGAAACTGCAGATGATCCTCCGATCGCGAAGTACGTACGAAACCGAAGCTTGAAGGAGTATTCTTGCCTGGATCAACTTGAACAAGGACTCCCGAAGTGCTTTGCACTCCGTCACGTCTAGCAGCGCCTACGGGTGATGTACTGGCCGAACTGGAAGCTTTGTAGACACTTCCTCGATGATGATGATGTTGATGTGCCAGTTGGGTTTCATTAGGACTGCTGGGTACCGAATTATGATGATGATGATGATGATGGTGATGGTGATGATGGTGATTATGGTTATGATGGGCACTAGTGGTAGTGATAGTGGTAGTGCTGTGCTGATGATTGGGATTGTACCTAAGGGAGTCCACCTTTCGCTGCTGATGCTGCTTAGGCAGCAAATTACTGCTCTGTTGTGTTCGGGAGAGATTTAGCATCAGGTCGCCGGTCATCATATACGCTTCGAATCTAACATAAATAAATAATGAATTTTATTATTAATAAGACTATTATTTACAATATATAATGATTCATCTCATTTGTTAAGATTTATGATTGGAGTGAGGGGGAGAGAGAAGGAAAGAGGAAAAAGTATATTAGTTGTAATTTAAAAAGAAAAGAAAAAATAAGCCAAGTTTCTCTTTTCTATACTGTTAAACTTGTATATTCTTATTTTCTATATCTTCATTACTTTCCTAATATTTTGTATTTTCTAAATAAAAATAAAATAAATACATAGTTGCAGGAAATCAAAAGTGACTGTGCTCGAATAAATGTCGAGAATGTGATAGATGATTACACAAACTGTTTTATATTGCAATTTGTACCGGGGTGTATTTTTCTGTCGTGAAAATTTCTCGGCGGATAAGGGCTCCCATTGAGTCCGTTCCTCTTCTTTAAAATGGTCTACAGGTGGCAAGAGTGCCTCTAATTCCGATGAAATGGACGCATCGCTGCACGAGCCATTGCTCCTTGTTGTTGTTGTAGGCATCGATGTCAATATTGGTGAGTTGGCAGACATTTCTGGTGTAACCGGCATCTTCTTGAGCTCCTTCTTCTCTACATTGTCGGAAGCGACAATGTTCTTGGGATTATTCACCAAAACATCTTTTGAAGATTCTATGCTCTCATCTTTCGTAGGTTGTCCGGGAGAAAGAAGGTGACGAACATGAGCCTTTACTGCAGGGTCTACATAATTTTTTTTAATCTCTATTATACATCTTTCTACACATTCTGCATATATTATATTATTTTATATTATTATATTATTGTCATTACACATAAAATATTGCGTTGATTATATATTTATTAAATCACGTTTATTTATAATAATTTTTAACATTACGTTATTTTCAATCAAAATTTTAATGAAAGCATATGTTTATGAGTGAAACTTAAAATAAAATTATATTAGAATCTACTTGAAATTAATTAAAGAATACCGATTAAAAGATTAAAATGCCAGAAACGTTCCTTTAATAAAAATATAAAAAAATGTCTGACAATAAATTTGTTATAAAAAAAATTAAAACTGATAGTTTAACAATTTATTCATTCATTAATTAAAACTAGTAAAGACGATAATAATAAAAAAAAAAACAATAAAAATAATCTGACAATATTGTATACAAAAAAGCACCCCTTGAGAAATCAATGTGATCGTCTGATAGAAAATTATTTGTCGCGCGCTCTCATGCATCGTTTGAAAGCCGCTCGTGCGGATAATCACGCGTCCTTGGTCATCGGCCATCCCTTTCCGTGGGGTAAGTGCGTAACTTTTTCTGTTCATCGCATTAGCCACGATGATTATTACAACGTTAATTCTATTATTATTGTAGTGTCAGGTTCAAGAATGTATATACAGACAATGATCTATCATTAGATCGCTTATGATCGCAAGAGTTCAGCAACCTTATGAATACATAATCAATTTGCATTTAAAGTATAGACGGTATTTGAATGATGTACACATATGTAATACATATGTAAAAAATCATAAATTTCATGTAAAAGATTAATATGTATGCTTTCCTTTTGACATTCAATGAATGACAAAGATAGAACGATGTTTGTGTCGAGTGTGTCCTTTAAAAGAAAAGCATATTAAAATCAGTGCATCCCTCGTCCTAATGAAATGAACGGCAAGGTTCATGAAACGTTGGCATTAGCAATGGATAAAAACACGGTGATAACCAGTAAACCTTCTGGTATAATTATATATAAAAAAAAGTATTAAAAAATCTAACTTACCCCTTCGCAGTTTCAGAGTAACGGGATCTGAAGACAGTCGTAGACATTTCAGTACTAAAACAAACCAACAATAGAACAAATTAACTTTAACTGTAAATTAAAATCACTAACTTTAAAAAATCAGAATTTGTATTTTTTCTTGTTTCTTTCATTCTAGTTTCCTCCTCGTTCTTAATTGAATTATCTTCTTATATATATTTCTTATTTCTCCAATGAATAAATAAATGAATAATAATGTTGTTTTTATTATTCTAAAATCTAAAATGTAATATTATTCTCCGTGAAATATACAAAAATTCATATAACTTAAAATTAACATCTATGAGAAAAATAAAAATTAGAATTTATATACTATGTATACAATTTCATAAAATTTTATAGAATTTTTTAAATTATTGTCATCATGTAATCAAATTATCTTACAGATTCTGTTCTCTGAAGTATTGTCAAGTTCGATTTCAATAGTCATGTTTAATTAATTAGAATCGAAACGAATTAATCCATCGTAGTTTATATTAAATTACGTTTTGCATGTGGAATCACATTACCTTCAGTGACATTTAATTTGTGATAAATAACAAAATACAAATACATATAAAAAGAAAATCGATTTTTAAAAGCGTGAAAAATCGCAATTTTTTGTTTTTTCTTTTTTAAATCACGTATCTTAATTAAAGATTTTCTAAATTTAGTACGATATATGTAACTGAGTATAATATAAGTTAGCCTAACATAACTTGTTAGTATAATGTATTATCTCCGTATATTTAAATTTGCAATTACAAAAAAGCGACGATAAAACAGCAATTAAATTCAATTTTGACAAATTTCCATAATTTAAAAACTAAGAGATAGACTTAATAAATATAACATTTTTACCTTCTTTCGTACTGAATCGATTAACATCAACTTCGTTCACCCTGAGTATAACATCACCAGCTTCGACCTAAAAAAAATCAAGCAAAAATCTCTGTATAAAAAGTACACATTATATAAGCATTTTACATATAATATATTATATATCAATCAAGTTTATTGTAGTAATTAAATAATATTTCTGATAATTAGCTAATAATATAGTTTTAAATAATAATTTGTATAAATATTTATCTACGTATATCAATATATTGTCAAACGCATGGTCGATTGAAAACTCATACGATCGTCGTTGCGTGAAAGCCTGAAAGCAAGTCCTGTTACGAAATTACATTGAGGGCAAGACAAGTTCAATGAAAGGATACTAGTTTATCTGCACCAGTTGCTTTAACAGTAGGTATGACATTTGTTCAATCTTTATGAACAAAAATATTTTATATACAGAACAGAAATGTGTACCACATGTGTATTTTTGTGGAATTAAACATGATTAATTGTCAAAATAATATACAGTTTTAGTTTTTATAATATTTAACTTAAAGATGACGTTTGATTTTAGAAACAGACTATCTATAAATAATATACATATTACATGTATCAATTTTTTAATTCAAAAGAAAGAAAAGATATGAAAGGTACGATAGTGATAACAATAAATGAAATAACAAATAATGAAAACAACAACAAATAGTAACAATATGTATTTTCCGAACACGTCATTAATTGTTTTATTAATATATAAGTATCTATTTTCTTATGTCATATAATTATTCAAATAATTTTTTACGTAGAATTGAGATTTACCTGACAGAGAGCCATGTACTCAACATAATCATATCTGTCCCTTTTAAAATGTCCATTCAGAAGGGACTCAAAAGGTCGCAAACAACACGATAAGCAAGACGCGAGTTTGGGCATTCGATGCACACTTTTGGAACTTTAGACCACGATAGGATTCTGAATTCTTTATTCACATCGAAAGAGCGCCGACAACTCGTAATTGACAAAATGCAACTGATCGAGTGCGAGTCGGAATGTGCAGGAGATTTCGGCTGGTGGCCAATTGTATTTTCGGATCCACAATGACATTGACTTTTCTCTCGCTGCCCTCTAATCCGACCTTTAATGAACCATTCTGCGCACAATGCACTTTGTCTTGTATTATATAAATAATTATTATGCATATATAGATGGGATCGAAATGCAGGGTATTCCATATATTATGTATAATGCTAGGATTCTATTCCAGAGATATAAATGCAACATTGGAAAAATATCATGGAAATATATCGTTCTATTTCATCTTGTTTTCGACTTATAATAAATTTTTTTTCTAAACTATATCTAATTATTATCACAAAAATTAAAAATGAATATCTTATATATCATCGCGTAATCATTTCATCATTGATCTTATTCTTGATATTTTCAACTGTTGTGATTATTATAACTAGATACCTATACACATTGTTAAGAAAAAAAAGTGTCATATTTAACATCCATAAATCGCATGTTTTGCGATTCATTCACATTTTTTAGTTAATTTAACACAAGATAAATATGTTAGAAGGTTACATAAATATCTATTATGTAAGAAAATAGATACAAAAGAAAACTATATATGGTAAAAAAAATTGTGTATTTGTGTTGAAAACGGTCCACTTCTTGTTAACATTTTATGATGAATTTTTTAATATATTTGAATTAACTTAAAATAATATATAACGTGTAATTGTGTTATTCAAAGATTTTATATTAAAATGATATTTAACATTTGTTGAACACAAAATAACACAATTTATGAGTAAGTGAACAAATAAATAAAGTATTTAAAACATAAATTCTAAGATGAATAAAAAATGTAGATTAATTTATTGTATCATAAATAAAAATTGTACTTAAAAAAATATATTTTCACGATGCCGATATTATCTTTTTTGTATCTAGCTTTTTATATAATATTTGTGTAACTTTCTAACATATTCATTTTGTATTAAATTAATCCAAAAATTTGAATGACCTGTTTGGGATTTATGTTAAATTCAACACATTTTTTCCAAACAGTTGTATGTAATATTTTTAATAATATAGTAATTATATTAGTAATGATATGATTAGTACAAATTTACTTGCAAATAAAAATTTAATTAAAATAAAAAATTAAATTAATATAACAAAACTAATATCTTTTTTAAAATAAAAATTAAATTAATCCTAACATTAATAAAATAAAAATTCAGATTAGAAGACTCAAAAAGAGCTGAATCTTTTAAATACACTGGGGAGTGTTCTAAAACTTGACTCTGTCAACTCCGAGTATCTTTTATTCTTGTTTATCATTCAATGAACAACAAGGATAAAAGATATTCACAGATATTGACAGAGTTAAGTTTTGAAACGCACCCCTGTATAAACTAACAAATGTGAATCATCTTCAATATGGTAGAATAATTCAATTATCTTGATAAGGTATGAATAACATGCAAAAAATAATCGAGGATTCGATAATTATCCCTTTGGAGATGACCAAGTGCAGTGCAGAAAAAAAGCTATGCAACATAAAAAAAAAGCAAAACTCTGAAGATAAAGTCGTCAAATTCCGTTGTGATTTTCCTTCAACGCAAGTTGAAGTGATGTTGGCAAGAGGTTGGATTCAGGTAATTTTATCAAATTTCTGATATATAGGATTTCTATATGCAAATACCATATAATAAAAGATATATTAAAAGATACCATATAATAAAAGATTATTAAAAATATATATACAAATGGGGGGGAGAGAGAAGAGAGAGAGAGAGAGAGAGAGAGAGAGAGAGAGAGAGAGAGAGAGAGAGAGAAGAGAGAGAGAGAGAGAGAGAGAGAGAGAGAGAGAGAGAGAGAAGCTACAGCGCTCCCACCATTAAAAAATCATTATATGTATAAATCCTGACAAAATTAATATGATATAGTATTTATACCATTACAAATAAAATTTGAATTAAGTAGTAGAATTCGAACTGATTAATTAATTTAAATACTTTAAGATAAATAGATGTCAAAATATTGAATACTTGTAAATATCTACTAATACAGATTATTGTAAATGCGTAGATCAAACATTTTTTTAGACAAGCTTTTTTACAAACAAATTGATGAAAAAGTAAATACAATATTAAAGCATTTAAAGTCCTTATGATAAATATCAGTTTAAACTATATATCTCTTGAATTAAATATTTTGTTTCTGAATTTATTGCTTGCAAAGTTTCAAATTTATAGTAATAAAAGTACCACATTAGTGAAAATAATTAGTGGAGGGCGTTATATTTTTCTTTTTTGAGATAGTCGATCCTGAAGATACTAATTGGCACTTATGGTGGTGCGACACGGGAGATGTGCTGCGACAAGTACTGGATGGAGATCGAAAGAAGCTACGCCCTTATCAGCGGGTGCCGCACTTCCGTAATCACTATGAGCTTACACGAAAAAATTATCTATATCGCAATCTCAAGCGTTATAGGAAAGCCCTCATAAGGGCTAGAAAAATTGCCGAGGCTCGTATCAGCGATGTTATGCCTGTGACCTTCGAGTTACCTAGTGACTACCGGATGTTTGTCGAAGAATATCATAAGTAAAATTATTTCTTATTGTTTATTATTAATTAAAGATTTTTAATATTAAATAGATATTATTAAGTTTTAATTTTAATATTATACTCCTTTTTATAAGTTATAAGTTCGTCTCTCTATCCTATACTTCTTATTATTTTACCATTATCGACAAATATTATATTTTATCAGAAGGTATTATCGAGAAATATATCACAAGCAAGTAAATATGATGATGATATCTTGAAAATTTTTCAAGATATAGATATATTATATCTATACTAAAAAGAACTTTTTTAAAACACTATCGTTTTTAAAAATGTTTGTTCACAATATTAAATTCATATATCTGCACAATTTCTATTGTTTCTATTAAAGTAAACTTTTAAATTTTTACATTAATTACACACACACACACATACATATATTAAATATATTTTCGTTTTACATTTTATTATACTTATTATGCATAACAAAAAACCAAAATTCTCATAGACTTTTATGTAAGAATTCTAGTTCACAGAATATATTTTGTATTCAGATAAAAATATGAAAGTAAATTTTGGAGGTAAAAAAAAACGATTTAAGTCGCATAGAATTAAAATTATGGAATAAAAGAGAATCTCAACGAGATGATAAATGTTAATTGTAGGCAACAAGGAGCCACATGGATTGTTAAGCCAGTAGCAAGATCACGAGGCAAGGGTATCTTTCTATTTAGGAAACTGAAAGATCTTATAGAATGGAAAAGTAGAGAGGTCAAATCACAGCAATCAGGAATCCCAACTGAGATTTATGTTGTTCAAAAATATATAGATAATCCTTATCTTGTCGCAGGTTAAAATTCAGATTTTTTTATTTTCTACAATTATTTTTAAATATATTAATTAATAATTGTAAGTTCAATAAATTATATATATGTGTATCTGGAGACACACTGTGTCGGTGCTAATATATCTATATGTGTACATTATACACTGAGAAAAAAATTTATTAAATTTTATCACATGGAATATTAACAGTAAATAACGTAAATTATAACATTGTATTTTATTATAATATAAATTAAATATAATAAAAGTTATGTACATATTGAGAAATTAAAGTCATGAAATTCAAGTAAGCAGTACGTGTATATATACTTAAATTTTATGACCTTATCAATTCCTCAATTTGTAGTAATGGAATATTTATTTGTTGTATATTATATATATACACTGTATGTAATTTAATATTTTATTTATTAATTGCTAATTGATGTTAATATTAAACAAATAAAATCATGAACTAGATCCATCTCGTACATCTCGCGTGTTCTTCCAATATCAACATTTCTATTTTATAAAAATTAAATCTCTGACTTTTCAGGGCGAAAGTTTGATCTACGCATTTACGTATTGGTGACATCATTTCATCCTTTGAAAGTATGGTTAGCTAGGGAAGGTTTTGCCCGCTTATGTGGCCAATTGTTTGATCTGGAAAACATTGACGACAACAGAGTGCATTTGACGAATACGGCAATACAGCTGAAAGCAAGTCAGAATACCGAGGGTATCTCTTCGATAAAAGGCGAGAATGGGGAATGGAAATGTAAATGGGCATTGAATAAGCTCAGGGATTATTTGAAAGCTTATTATGAGGCAGAAGTGGTTGAGAATTTGATGCATCGCATTGCAGGTATTTACAAAATTATCAAATTATTATTATTAAGTTAGTATTTGACAAATAACATAATCACTTTACGATTTATCTTTTGTGTGTGTGTGTGTAATTTTGTATATACTATATCTATATTTATATTGCAGGCGTGATAATGGCGAGTTTACTGGCAGTACAACCAGCTATGATGCAAGATCGCAACTGTTTCGAGCTCTATGGCTACGATATACTGCTCAGTGATGATCTTCGACCTTGGCTATTGGAAATCAACGCATCTCCAGCCTTAACAGGCACCGACAACGAGGATCAACGTCTGAAATTCGATCTGGTTGACGACGTCCTCAACGTCCTCGACTTTGAGGTACCAGTCACATAAATTCTTTCTCTTGCTTTTTATATATTATTATCTATACTTATATAGTACATATATAGTTAATAATAAAAATATTTATATTTTATAAAAATATTTATTTACATATTTATATGTACACTTATAATTATTTCATATATTTTTATATAAAATGTCTTTTATTGTGCTCTTGATTAGAATATTTTTAAACACAATCGTTATTGTATAAAATTATTTAATTTGGAAAGATATTTCGTATAAATAAATCAATAATTTTGATTGAAGGGTTGCTTCAGTGGACACGAGACCAGAATTGGGGGGCTGGATCTGCTCTGGGACGACGGACCAGTTTGGACCAGCTGCCCATATCCCGGCATTCGCACGGATGTGATTTCCAATGATCTCAGGAGACTCAACATCTTTCTTGGAGCAATTAATGATCGTCAAAAGCAGCTCTCTTTATTGAAAAGTCAGCTAATTGAAAAACGAAAAGCAGGACAAGATTACTCTCCCATGGTGCAATATTGTTTAAAATAAATACAAACAATATTTAAGATGTTAGATTACGTTTAAAAATTATACCTTAAAAACTTGTTAGCCAACAAATAATTTTCATTCACAAGCCTTGATTATTATTATCTTGATATTTTCTGTACAGGTAACCACAAAATTCTCTCGTAAAATTTCTAACGAGTTATTAAATATTCTTCGCGAAACTGTGCCACTATGCAGAAAGAATGCAGCTGGTGCACTCTCGCTTTTACATCACATATCTTGCCTTCGTCATTTTTTTTCTTCGTTTCCAGCGTCAAAACTAAATTTAGCCGAAGAGACTTGTGCGACTTCGTAACCACATTAACCAGTCTTTTCTACCTGATCATATCTAAATGTTGTTTAAATCATTTATTTATGATAGCAAAAAGTATTTTGATTATGTCTTCAGGTTATTTGACATGTCTTTTTCCATTATCATGAATTATTTGCAATATCAATATATAAATAAAGATAAATAAATCTCTTTTTTATTAAATGCTCATTTATGAGTTACATATTTCAAAATTTTGATTGATTCAAAACTCATTAATACATTTATGTGATTCCAACAAATTAATTTAAAAAAAAAATCACTATTTGATATTATCAATTCAATCACAGCCATTTTAGACTTAAATAAATAACATAAAATTTTTAGTTGTTAAACTCAAATAAAAATTGTAAAAATCATTAAAATTTAATTTAACTTAACAGAAGTATCGTTAAGTCGCTATTATAAATTTATGTTGATAACATTTTAAGAATCAATAACAGCTTATATGAGAAAGCTTATATGAGATGGTATCTTGATTTTAATCAATCATTGATTCTAAATTAGGAAAATTAGTTCCGTTAGAAATAATATATCTTATTTTTACTTGAAGTACCGTAAGTGTTTAGAGAGGCTGTACTTAGGACTATCAATTCTTATTCGTGTATGATATATTGAGAGCTATCTAAAGAATGTTGAGAAGAGCTTTCTTGAAGTGTTAAATTTCATTTCTTCCTCTTTACAAGTACAATTTGTTCGAAAACAGCTATAATCTACAATATTTAATGTATTCTAAAAACAATTTAAATTGACTTGATCCATTTCTGACCAGTAGTGATACAAAAACGCAATCTTTTTCTTCGAATCAGTATTGTGGAACTCGTATGTAAAACAGCTTATGAGAACCTCATTTCTTCTATTTTAATTTACTCATTTCAATACCTATCGATAAAAAAAATCAATCTCCGCTGCAGACAGCATGCAAATATCGACTTTAATACAATTACAGCGTTTATTTATAAAAATCAATCACGCTAGAAACGATCTTAGTTCTTTAATTCATAAAGATTAATTTGCCACTCTACTAACAACGAAAATCAATCTTGCGAGAATTGTAGCATCTCGCGTTGTATATTGATTCGCCAGTATCAATTTCTCAAACTGGGTGCACACGAAAATGATTTTATTAAATTGTGTCCATTCCAAGGTTTAACTTTTAAATGCTACAGGTATACGAAAAATCGTTATCGCGGGTACATTTATTCTGAAAAATCAATTCTCTATGGTGTAGTTATGCCAGAGAGAAAACCCGTAGGAAAATCATTGTTTCGTTTGTAAAAACATACCGTGCCACACGCAAAAATCGATCGTGCGAGAATCGTTGATATGTAAGGATCAATTTCCTGTAAGTGAGATATGCGAAAATCGTCCTTACGGCGGGGAAGCTCTCTATGCTCTACGTGCCGTGTTGTAACTCACCTTGCCGCTCCTGGCCGCCGGTGAGTTTTCGACGATGTCGTAGATGACGTGGGCGGCCGGCAGGCCCGCCGACGCCGAGGCACCGAGCAACGAGAAGCCGAAAGAGCCGCCGGAGCCGGAGTCGCCGCGGCACAGGGTGACCAGCAGCTCCTCCTCAGCCATCACGGCACATTGATCCTCACCTCTTCGCTGTCATTTGCCGTAATGTCACCTTTTCACGATCTCACACCACCTCGCACTACCTCACGCACTTGTGCACTCCCGATCGAGCTGGTAACGGGCAAAGGGCGCACCTTCCTTATTTGGGTTATCCTCGCCCTCCGCGCTTCTGTCACCCGACAACTGTGTATCTATCACTCGCACACCCACGCGCGGGACGAGGAAGCGCTTAGCGCCCTCCCCTCTTCGTCGCGCCGCACTGCGAACGATCGTCGGCTGCGCTCGGTCTCTTTCGCTCTCATTCGACGCCACTGGGAGGAAGGGAGACGAGGCGACTGGCCTGCTCTGCTTCGTGTCTCACCCTGCGTAACCGCGTACGCTACTCCTTTCTCGCGTGGAAGGAGATCGAACTGCGGACTGTTCGATTACGAACGGACGCCGTAAACAACAGCGGCAGGAACGCGGCGACGAAGGATGCGCGAGAAGTACAAATAATAATAACAACTTTCTCACCTGGCCGGTGGACTCTAGTGGACATCCCGCAACTGATTGAGCGAGCGCGCGGCGCCACCTGCGCGCGCCACCGGTCTTTCACCTCGTCACCGCGTACCCCTCCATCTGTCGTTACCGACCAATCGCGTAGCGTGCCGATCAGGAGCGTATATAGACGAAACACGTCATGTGGATAATATGTTTCACATGTGTTACAATATATGTGCGGCAACGGCAAGTATTATTTATGTGTATATATATTGTGTATCAGAAATTGTACGTTTTTTTACGCGGTTTAATTTATAAAATATGATAATCTATATCTGTCCAATAAACAATTTTTACATCCAATAAATGATAAAGATAGAATATGACACAAATAGCATTAATATAACGTCTCCCCGAACGCACACATTGTCCATATGAAAAAAATTCGTGTAAATCAACATAAGCATTATATGTAAAAATGTCAAGCAAACGTAATCTTGAATAGCCAATTATAAGAAAAAAAATACAAATATGTTGATGAGAAAAAAAAAAATGAAAAGGTAATTCTATTCTATGGTATCAGAAATGCACTCCTCTCTTAACTTGTTGAAAAAAATATATACCATGTATGTATACAACGGGATTTTGCAAAAGGTTTTTCTTGGTTCGGCACTGTTGGCGAACGCTGACGAGGCTGATTGGCGCTAATGGCGCTATCGTCAGTCAGCCGAGCGCAGCCGAGTGATTATGGAACCGATCGCACATCTTGTCAAAGTGTCCGTCCCGAACTATCTGGCCGGCCTACCGATTCCCGATTCGATAGGAGGATGGTTCCGACTTGGAGGTAATTTCCGCCATACATTTCCTTACCTTGTACCAGCAATTATACCTTGGCATATTTTCCAGACTCCGACATAACCTCTTGATCTAAAGAAGTGTTTAAATTTTTTAAAATTAACTTGTTTTACTTTTATTTCCTTTATACCAGTGAGGGACTGGTTTTCCCTTCTGCCACCTACTGCCCTTCTCACGGGTTTAGGATATATGTCCTATAGGGCGTTTTGTCCTCATGGCAGACCTACGGTACGTCTTTTATATAGTTATTTCTTGTAGAAAGTATCAAGGACAACACAAGAATTATTATGATATTACTAGAAAAGTTATGTAACTTTCAGATAATGCCTTTTCCAAGCATCGTTATAAATTTGTTGCAAACTGGATAGAATAAGTTCAACTTTGTAGTTATGTTCTTAATTATATTTTCTATTTTTCTTTCTTATGTATCTCACTAATAATATAGAATATTCTATGTTTCTTTTCTCTCTCCCACACACTATATATATATATATATGGTGGGTGTGTATGTATATATGTGTATGTATGTATATAATTTATTAGAATATTTTTTTTTACTATGGAATTTTTATGTAAGTTTGATTTAATAAATTAAAAAATTTTAATAATTTCTAATTTTTTTTAAATATTTCTATAAAACAAGTTTAAATGTTATCTGTAAAAAAGTTGTCACTTACATAAAATTCAAATTATGGGAACTACATATCTCATTTGTAGTATAAAAAAAATATAGTGTAATGACAAAGAATCTTTATCTATATTTTAGATTAATTTATTTCATTTAATTTTGTAATTATAATTTTTATACATATATAATATTTTATATTGTGTAGTCATAATAATTAATAATAAGAATGAAACAGAATAATAAATATTAATAATAATAAAAACAAAATAATTTACGCGCGCACGTACATACATACATACGTGTAAGTTGAATTATTACTTTTTTCTTAATAATTTCAATATTTTTATAATTTTTTAATAATAATTTTAATGATATA